TTTTGTACGGACAAGCTCTAATAGGATCATAATTTATATAACACAACTCATATGTTTGAAATTAAAACATGGTCTTTAATCTTACTGTTTTTTCATGGTAAATACTATTTAAATTTAGACTGTGAAGTATATTTTGTTTTGGCAGGCCTAAATTATTTCAGAAATCTGAATACTAATTTTCATGTGAAGCTTCTGAAAATACAATTGCAGGCAAAAGTCAGCTACCTGGGCGTGCAATTCTGTCATGGGAAAGAGCAGTGGAAATAGCTCACACTGATCCTTTCCAAAGCTGTCGATTTTAAATCGGCTTTGGTTTGCCTTGCAAAATCACAGCCACCTTTTAGCATATTATGAAGAAGAACATTTCTTAACGTTATGTTTTGTACTGACCGATTCAGTAATTTGAGGTGGTGTTGATTATTAAAAAAAAATATGAAAAAACAACAACAAAAAAATAACCCCAAGGGATCTTGGCACCGAGATACACACATACTTTAGTTGATAAACGCTGCATTAAAATTTATGGTGGACAAATAACTGAAACCTGAAAATCAATTAGGAAATTATTATAGGGAATAAAAACATACAGCAATAGAAAACAAAGACAAAAGCGATTTTTAAAATACTGCAAACTGCTAATTCGCACTGCTGAGAGTAAAGCTGCTCGGGGAGTTCCTCTGCACTCAGGGGACTACATCCAAACCCCAGGGCAGCTGTTCTTCATATTTAAGGATTTAGGTCTTTCGTTTAATCTTTCCATGGAAACCAAAGTCCACTTAAACATGTTGTTGGGACAGAGCTGATGGAAAGATCAGGAAGCTGGGAAGCACCTGTGTGTCCTGTAGTTTCACCATAGGCAAATAAAGATTAGCCAACAAGAAATTCTGCCTGTTTTGTCCATAAAAGGAGCTTTCAGATTGGGAAAAATCACTGCAGATGCTTGTGATGCAGCTGCTGCAGGGGAGCATCCTGCAGAGGCTGACTTAATTAAATCCCACTTAATTCACAGAGTTTAGCATTGCAGACTTATAGTTAGCCCTGGGTAGTGTGAGAAGGCACTGAGTCAAATTTCAGTCTTATTCTTCATTCTGATGCCAGTGGCCGTTTGACTCTGAGAAATTTTGAGCCTTAATTGCTTTCTCCCTTTTCACACTAATAAAATGGGGCTTCTCTAGCCATCACCGGGAAGTCTCAAATGAAAAATGCATTTCACTTAATTAGTAAAAATTTATTCTCTGGCTGCATCTAGTAACATTAATCACTTACTGATCATTAAATGAAAGTAAAAACTGCAAAACTCCTTTCATGTGAAAGGAATGCATTGGAGGTGACCTGTTCACCTGAAGTGCTGCTTAAAAGCTTTAAAAAGCAATATAAAATTTGTAAAAGATAGTGTGAATAATGTTGCTTTAGAAACTGATAAACATTCCCATTCGATAAAGCTGGACCCCAGGGTTAAAGTTCTTTTGTGACTATTACTTAGAGGGCTGGTAATTATCTGGTTAATGATATTATATTTCACTCATTTGAGTGAGAGGTAGATTGTTGAATGCCAAGTAGTGGCACTGGAGCCGAACAGAGTTTGCCCTGATAAGCTCAAAAACTCCCTGCAAGCTGCAGAATCCACTTCAGATTCACTAAATAGAAGTCTTTTTCATGTTTCAATATAAAGAAAGGAGGCAAGGTTGTAATTAAACCCAATAGTTTTGCGAGGTGGGGGATAGATGCATTTGAGAAAACTCATCTCTGTGTATTTCTACATTATGGCATACTCATTTTTTTTGTGTGAGGTACCAGTCTCGTCAGCATAGCACCTACTTCTCCAGCTACGTGGCCGTGCATTTGGAAAGCTACCAGCGAGAGTGGTAGGGGTCCCTGGGGAAAAGAGCACAGAGGGCTTCATCTAAAGTCCTCTCAGCTGCAAGGTGGAAATCATGGTCGGCAGAATGCCCACATTAAATTTCACCAAGGCTGAAAATTAAATCCCCTTTTCCTGCCTCATACGACTGCAACGCTAACAAAGTTTCTGCGGTAGGGGTAGGCGACCGTCCGTGCTTTGCCCAAGGGCACACGTTAGGTCGGTGCTTTCTCGCATCCCACCGTGGCTGATGCTGGCAGGTCTGCGCTACTGGGGGTCAGCTGCCTGGCAACACCCCATTTATCTTGACACATTTTTAACCACAGCGTTAATTAGTATTTTTAGGAGCCAGAATAGATGTATTGGACTTGCTACATGTTGCTACTCAGTCTCTATAAGTAGATGCTTCTACATGAAGAATATCCTCTTGGTAACTGTAGTTCATCTAACTGATGGAAAGCAGCAGTAGATTTCATAAATTCCTGTAGTGTAAAGTTTTGCATGCCAATCAACTGATTGAACAGGTTGTTGTCAGTAAATGTGGGACATCTTGTACTCCCTGTTTTCTGCTCTTTCCTGCTTTGCTCCCAACCTTTGTGATGTTGCTGCCTTGTCTTTTCTTAATGCGTGTTCTGGCTCTGCTTGTGATTCTCTGCAGAGCTGGCTTAAATCTGGTTTTGCTTTTTAGGTTAAATTCCTGCTGGTTTAATGCATCAAATTGACTTAGGTGGAGGTCGACTGATTGTCAAGGCTGGCAAGTAGAAGAGGAGGAGTGGAATTGATGCAAAAGTAGGCAGGTCCCTTCTATAGGTAGGAAGCTGCGGTGTCCCCTCACCTTATCTAACGAAATCACACTTGTGTAGTGGAAATTGGAGCAGGGTGGAGAGAAGACCTGGAACTGCTGGTCTCAAGTGCGAGCTTCAAAAATAGTAACTTCTGCTTCTGTTTCTTGACCTCTCATTCCCCACTATCAACCCCTTTTCCTCCTGCTGATGCTTCATTAAAAACAATACTTTCCCAGTCATTAATAGCTGAAATGGGAAATGAATGAAGTGGGATTGACTCTTAGTCAAGGAATCAAGAGATGTTTTAGCAATGAATTAGTGATTGCTCTGGGAGAGAAACTTGGATTCTTCAGAGCATAGTGAAATGCTGATGGGAATAATAAAAAGGAAGAGGCCAAGTGGCCGAGGAATGAGAAATGGAGAAGGTCGTATCTCTGCATTTCCAGGAAGGGCAGCGCAGAAAGAAACAAGTGAGAAGTGTGTGCATTCCTTAGTACAGGGAAAGATGATGCAAACCAGCCCGAGAGCTGATCTGGTTGAGAAATGATGGAGAAGTAACTATGTGGTTATGAGTCAGTAACTGATGTTTTTCTGTTATGGATGGAACAGCTCCAGTATTGTCAAAATCATAATTTAAAAATTACACAATGTGAAAAATTGTAAATCTCAAGTCACTCTTGTCTTGTTGCTCTGAATTTTTAGTTGATGCACTTCAGAACAAAAGTGTTCTTTTTTTAGAAATAAGGCTAAATGAGGAAAGTCTTAATGCTAGTTTTACTAGGTTTTTTCTTACTGCCTTAGGTGATGCAACTTGCTTTACATGCATGCTGTGCTCCTGTTTGTTGCTGTAGCCACAGATTTGTCATCTTTGCCATCATATTTTAATATTAATAACATGTATTTGTAGGATCAAACAGACCTTGGACAATTGGATGATGCATTATGTACAAAGCGTTGAGCTGATTGATTTTACTGCTGTCTTTTGGGAGATCATTTGGAGGAAAATGCTGAATGTTTGGTTTTGCCCACTCCGTTTCCAGTCTTATGGACACTGCTTTCCCCCGAGAAGGCAGATATTTGCTAATCAAATGTTTTCTGCTGCTTCTGGAGTTCTGATGCTGCGCTGTTGGAAGGCAACATTGTGCTCAGCGATGAGTCTCCTGTTTAAAGAAAATTAAAAAAACCGAAGCCAGCAAGCCTGTGTTTTCAAAATTAATTATAAATACAGTGCCAAAATATTTTCCCATGGAGTTTTGCTGTCTCAGCATAATTCTACTCTGTACATGACACACAAGCAGCAAAAGCCTGAGATTTTGTTTCTGCAAGACTCCTGTTTATTACTAACAAGAGCAGTAGTACTAATGTTGCTTCAGCCAGAACCTTCTCCGTTCCACTTACATCCTCTCTGCATCGCCTCCTACCTCAAGCTCTTAGCAGGTCCAGACGTATTCAGCTGCCTTGCGTAAAGTACTGATAATTGACCTAAAATCAAAAAGATTTTTGTTTTTGGGCATGAGGGCAGAGACTTAATGCATTCAGAGTGACTATAACTCTTACTATAGGACAAGGGGCAATGGCTTTAAACTGGAAGAGGGCAGATTTAGATTAGATATAAGGAAGAAATTCTTCACGGTGAGGGCAGTGAGGCACTGGCACAGGTTGCCCCTAGAAGCTGTGGATGCCCCATCCCTGGAAGTGTTGAAGGCCAGGTTGGATGGGGCTTTGAGCAACCTGGTCTGGTGGAAGGTGTCCCTGCCCATGGCAGGGGGGTTGGAACTAGATGGTCTGTAAGGTCCCTTCCAACCAAACCATTCTGTGATTCTTGTCAGAGGTAGCTCTGGAACATGATACTGCAGAGATCGAAATAGTCCCCGGTGCAGTTAGGTGAGTTATGACCATGTGTTGTATATTATCTTATGTAAAATATTGGGTAGATAGCAGAAATGGATTGACACTACGTACAGCAGTAACTTTCAGTCACCAACTTTTTTTTTTTTTTTTTCAAATGTGACCTTTTATGTATTTTCTTGTATTGTTTGTTCTTTTCAGGAATGACTATTTAATAGGAAGTAATAAGAGACTCTAGAATACAACTATGTCTCAACCCTGCAATTAGCCTATATCTAAATGGACTGCTATTGAAACAGAAAAAGTGTTTGGTGTATACAGTAGTTAAAATTTGCCAGTTAAATAGTTAAAATTTATCTGGCAAAACATGAGTTTTTGAAATATTTCAAAGCATTAATCTTCTGTTTAAGATCATATTTTTGGGGTTGTTTTCAGAGAAGAAGGAACAAAATCCATCCAGTGTGCTTGTCTATTCTTAGTAAAATTTACTGTTAATGTTATTTTTCTAGGGGTCACCTCTGTTCGATCTTATCAAGCAGTCAAAAGAACGAGAAGGCCAAACTGATCAGCCTGAGCCCCCTTCCAATCTCAATGTGCCTTTCCAACATAACCACACTGCAGCAGACCTGTAAGTGATGCGTGTGCTTGAGGTCTAGCGAAACATGAAGTTAATAGCACCCTTAATATTTAAATCCACTTGTATTCTGTTTTCCTACTTGTTAGGCTTGGTGCTTACGTTATGTTGAACTGTTGTATTTGCTGCTGCTTATTATACATGTAAATTTAGCTAAATCAAATTCTGAAATTTTTTCCAAGCCCTATCAATCTTGTAGTTGCAAACTGTTATCTTACTTGCCTAGGAATAAATAAGTCCCTTTATCAGGTATTTAATCAACAACTTAAATTTTTAATTCCTGATATGGGAATAACAGGTTACAGTAGCAATTAGTCTCTTCTAATGGAGGAAGAGGGAAGAGTTCCTGCAAGTATTATTCATATGAAATTGTTCCTTTATCCTATGATGTTAAGTGCTTAATATGTGTTGAATCTCCAGCTATCTTTCTCCTGTGAGATCTCCTAAGAAGAAAGCATCTGGACCACCTCCGAGTGCCACTTCCACTCCAGATGCTCAGCCAGCTGTGACCCCCCAAACACAGAAACCACAAAAATCTACCTCCCTCTCTCTGTTCTATAAAAAAGGTTTGTTGCTTCTGTATGTGCTGAAATTGCAAAGTTATCTCTTGTTATCCTTTTTGGGTTTTGGAGCTCAACATTTCTTAAAAGATTATAATAGAATCTGTAGTAACCACCATGGAAACCCTCAGCTGCCTCTGGCAGAAAGAGTAGAATGGTGCCAGCAGGTTAATGCGTGCACTCTACACCCTGCAAGGTCAAACTGAAAGCTTATCTACGGATTGTGAGAATGGCTGTATGGGCTCAGATGGAGGTTTCTTCTATCATAGCATCCTTTTTCCAGCAGTGACCATAAATAGATATCATGGGAAGCTTAAGAACTGGGCAAGCATATATGGTGCTTCCCTGAATGCTTTCCCGAGCTTTGACCTTCTCCAGCTTGGAGGTTTTCCTGAGCCTTTTGTGATGTGTCTGCTTAGTAACTCTCAGCAGATTCATGTTCCAAATGCTTGTTCAGACTCTTCTTGAATCCACATAGACATACACGAGCAGCATTGCTTGGTGTGGACTTCTGTGTGTCGACTGCCTGCTGTATGAAGAATCTTTTCCATTTATTTTGAACCTGACTTCTACTACCTCCCTTTGATGGCTCGTAGTTTTTGTAGTGGGAGATGGCTGTCCATACTCCATCGTGTTCCTTTTATTTTGTATACCCTTATTATTACAATTTCAGTTTATTTTTCTTCTCTGTTTCTAAAGTGTATCTTCTGGCCTATCTTCGACTACATACCCTGTTCTTTCGGCTTCTCTCTGAACACCCTGACCTGGAACCCTTGATCTGGACCCTCTTCCAGCACACACTGCAAAACGAGTATGAACTTATGAGAGACAGGCACTTGGACCAGGTAACGTTAACAAAATTTTAAAAGTTTACAAAGACTCTTCTGAACCAAATGTTGCTTCTTTAGCCGTTAGAAATGGTAATCCGAGTTTTTATTTCTCTATTGATGATTCAAAGGAGAAATTAATTTAGAGTGAAGTCTATCATCTCAGGTTTTTAAGTACTGGCAGTTACTTACAATGGGATCTTCAAATACCATTTACAGCTGTTTTGAAAATAATGAAGTCACACCAAATTTTCTAATAATTTGCGTAAGAAAATACTGCTTTTCTTTGGGAAGACAACATGTATGGCTGATAAATGTTTTGTTATTCTGCCCTAAAATTACAGCATGGTAAATGAGTTTGAGAAGGTATTACCAGCTCCAATTAGTTGCTTGTCATACAGAAATGGAGGGAACAGTAGTTGACTTATATTCTGGAAGTTCTTACGAAAGTTGAGTTGCATGCTAGTTTCCAGAGCACAGTCAGTAATAGAGAGCTCATCATTTGACTTCTTAACCTGCAATGAAGAAGCTGAATTCATTTTCTGCATTTCCAGTTGTCTTGTCTTGTTTCTTTAATAGATCATGATGTGTTCCATGTATGGCATATGCAAAGTAAAGAATGTAGATCTGAGATTTAAAATAATCGTTTCGGCATACAAGGAGCTTCCCAACACAAATCAAGAGGTATGGAAATTCTTTAATGTTACCCCTCCATAAAAATGTTATAAACTAATTGTTTCTCTCTGTCTAAAACAAAACCAACAAACTGCACTTGAACATATGAAAGAAAACTTCTGCTTCACTGCATCTCCATTCTGTGGAGGAGAAAACTGGCTCTAATACTAAATGTCTCTTTAAACATCTTGCACAAATAGTTTGGTAGCTCTCCTCAGAAAGCAAATTTCATTCCACTTTCTTACTTAAAGATACTAAATAATGGGTGGTGATTCTGTTTGGAGACTTTATGAAAGATTCAGATGTGCTGCTAATAGGATTTTCAAAAGCAACCCAAATTCTTTTAAAGTTACTTAACTTCCATTGAGCCTTAAGGAGAGACGAGCAGATAACTTTCATTAGAAGCTTTCATAGAAATATGGTTAGATATCAAATAGAGATGTATGGTTATATCTCAAACAGGTATGTATGTACTAAAGTTGCAGGCTTAATTCTAAGATTAAGAAATTCCATTCTTTGTAAGGGCCTTACTGTACTTAAGTTTTTGCACAAAATGATAAATTAAATCAATAGAAAATCAAACAAACAATCAAACAGTTAATTGACCTGTAGGCAGCCCTTTATTAGCAGAATTTCTCGTAGCGTATTTGTGTGTCTTGGCTAAACTCCAGACTTTTGTCTCCAAACCTAAAGAACTATTGTATCCACATCAGGTCAGTAATGGGTTTTTGGGTTGTTTTGTTTTGTTTTGTTTTTTTAACCTTGCAAGGCATGCACAGTAGCGAAGCCTTTTTTTTGATAGTTGTGTGTGTGAAAGTAAATGGAGCTTAAATTTGGAAAATGTTGTTGTAGTACTGATGAACTGGTTTTGCACTAGGGGGCTGTGCCAGTTAATTAAGTAGGTGCCACTGCTGATGTTCATACATGTTTGGGAAAAAAAACACAATTTAGAACAGTTCTAAATAGTAGTTACAATGGCTTGTATACAATACCCATAGCTCATATCTAACACAGATTTTTTTGAATGGCTTTATGAGTTTGTCAAATGTGAAATTGTCTTCTTTTTTTTTATTTTTTTTTAAACTGTGTATGATTTTCTCACCCTGTGTAGACTTTCAAACGTGTTCTTATCAGGGAAGAAAAGTATGACTCCATTATAGTCTTCTACAACTTAGTGTTTATGCAGAAGCTGAAAACAAACATTTTGCAGTATGCCTCCAACAGGGTAAGCTGTTAGTTGTGTTCAGCATTAATTGTTTAATAGAACAGGAATATATAGACAAAAAAAACTTACGATTAATTTGTTATTTTTATAGCCTCCCACTCTGTCACCTATCCCACACATTCCTCGCAGCCCTTACCAGTTTTCCAACTCTCCTCGGCGTGTCCCTGCTGGCAATAACATCTACATCTCACCCTTGAAGAGCCCATACAAATTCTCCGATGGGTTTCAGTCGCCCACAAAGATGACTCCAAGGTCTAGGTAGGTTGTTGACAAGCATTTCTTTGATTAAATTAAAGGTATTTGGGGGATTTAGTGGAAGCAAATTAGAAAACCTCACAGTGTAGTCTGTCAATAGTCGGTGGTTACGGTATCTTTTCTGGTTAAAAGTGTGTGTCCCGTATTTGGAATCTTTATTCATCATTGAGCGCTTTTCTGTTTCAGTTGAGTCAGTGTGCTCCAAGGAGCTTAGTGTTTTGGTTTTGTTTTTTTTTTTTCTTTCTTTTAGAACAGTCACATCCAAGAGGGGTTTTCTGACCTAGTGGCTTAAATGCTGTTGGCTTTGACTCTGGATCACACTCCTGAAAAACATAGATGAGCTTTGTACACTTGTTTAAAGAGAAAATACTTTTCTGGAACAAAATGGTTCAGAGTATTTAGTTGACTGAGCAGAACATTTCAAACTGTTGGTCGCTAGTTCTAGCAGACAAGGGTGACAACAAATGTCCAAGTCTCCAGTGGGTTTTTCAAGTGAGTCCCATTGCACCTGGCCCACTGTGTACAAAAGTTAAAATATTATTGTATATTTTAGGTTGAAGTCCTGCGTGGTTTTGATTAGCAAACACCTAAAGGTAATGGTGAAAGGATGATTATCTGGGTACCCAGCACTGAAGTGTTTTTTTTAGACTGTGGGGGTCTCTGATTCCTTAAAGCCACAGTTTCTTTTCTCCGTGTATGGTACGGTTGATTTGGCGATCCAGCATTCGCTGGCCCAAATAGAAACGTGGACGGTCTCAAGACAGTAAAGCGTAGTATGGGTTTGCGCTGGTAATGCAGAGAGGGAGGAAGAGACTTTGTTAATGTCTTACGCTAAGCTGTGCAAATTAGTGGATGCTTCTATCGTTGTTAAGTGTAGTTTAATCTTAAACACTTCTTCATTTGGCAGGATTTTGGTGTCAATTGGTGAATCATTTGGGGTGAGTTTTAACATTTTTAATGTCTGGTCTTGAATGCATGTAACTTTGGGAGGAATGGGGTAGCCTGCCGACACCCGTCGAACTGGCCAGTGAGTGTCTCTCATTTAACGTAGTGTTTTATGGAATCTGTAAGCACAAAGATTACAGGGGTGTTCTGTTAACTCATTTCAAATATCCAGACTTCACTTATAAAATGCGAAACATTTTAATTTAAGTGCTTTGACAGAAGGTAGAGTTCTTAAACTGCAGAGTTTTATAACTCCTAGGGTTTTTTTAGTGGATCATCTGGAAAGTTTGAGTCGTTTCAGGATTTACTGGCGATTCTTTTCCTATTTTCTTCTCATTTCAGACTTCTGAAAAGTTTCAAAAAATAAACCAGATGGTTTGCAACAGTGACTGCCAGCTAAAACGCAGCGCAGAAGTAAGCGCTGCTCCTAAGCCACTGAAGAGGCTGCGCTTCGATATAGAAGGGCAAGACGAAGCAGATGGAAGGTGAGAGATCGTTCTTGCCTTTTCGGTAATCTTACGTATATTTGGTTCTCAGGGCCTTCCACCCTAACTTCTTCCTGACATCCTAACTTCTGTTAATTTGTGAACTTTAGTAAATCTATTAAATGAGAGATGGTAGCCTAATACTTCTTGATTAGATGCTTTGATGTCAGAAGCAAGGATTTATTTGGTGCCTATACATCCAGCATCCCAGTGTTACTGCTGAGTGCTAAACCATCCTGTTGTCTTTAGTCAGTCTGTTAAACAACAAACGCTGAATTTTTTAGACATATGAGAAATCAAGGAACTCTTGAGTTTAGTGTGGACAAAAAAAGGGTTTGCATCTTTGTAAGAGAAGGTGATAGTACTGAAATGAACTAACCTAGCTAGATCTAAAGTCAGTTTATGAGGATAAAAAGTTTTTTGATTTGTTGGGGGTTTTTTTAACTTCCATTTCATCATATGCTTTCTGTCTGCAGCAAACACCTACCCCAGGAGTCCAAGTTCCAACAAAAGCTTGCAGAAATGAGTGAGTATTATTTTTTTCATTAACGGCATAGCAGTGAGTGCTTTGGATAAAAATGTTTATGCTCAGTCACATGAAAACATTACTCAGCACTGATGCAATTTCGGTAACTTGCTTAGTCTTTTGTATTTGCTCCATTTAATCTTGAAAATGCAGATTATAAAATGGAAATCCTCAAAAGCCTTCTGTTAAACAGCACAGCAGCATAGAAGATGCTATATTATATGTGAATAAGAAAATGAGTATGACACATTCTTCCTAAACACTGGAATTCTTGAAATGAAATTAAATGCTTGCCAAGGCTTTCCCATTTGTTGTAATGATAAACCCTTAGCCGAGAGCTCACAGGTAGAAACCAGTAGTAGTTGCAGCAGCATTTAGTTGACCAGAACACCCTGTTAGGCGATGACGGTATGTTGCTTTGCTGTCTTTTATACTACAATGCCTGCGACTGCTTTTTCTTCTGCTGTGGATCAGCATTTCTTTCAGATTTTATGGGATCACATGAAACTCAGATCTAGCTCATGAAAAGCAAAATGGCCCCATCCCCACACCTGAGTTGTATTTTCCACTCCCGAGAAGGAACACACTTGGTCTGACCAGGCATTCTCACTCTCTGGTGGAATCTGAGCTCTGTAGCTGAGAGGGGATTTGCCTGTTAAAAATTCTTACCTAGCAAGTGTTTGCTCATCGAGATAGGTACGAGTACAGATCCAGGCACCTCGCGTTTATTTTAGGGTAGGGGAAATGTTTCTGTGTTTACTTGTGGGGAGGTTAAGAAGGGATGTTCTCTCTCGTGTCCGGTTGTGTTCGTGTGTGTCACTGCGGGGAAACGGCATTTCCTGGGCAGGCTGGCTCGGGGACGTGGGGACGGCTCAGGCCACAGCATCTGCCTGGCGACCAGAGGAGATCCCGGGGTGATGCCGTCCCTCTGCCCGCCTTGAGGAGGGAAACAAAGCGAGGGTGCAGATGCAATGAGAACATGAGCGAAGAGGGGGGATGAAGATGTGCGAGATTGAGCAACCACTGCTGAAGCAACTCAGAATTACTTGTTTATTTTAAAATGAGGGATTTGTTATATTTAGAATAGGGTACTTCTATTCCTTGTGGCATTACAAATTTTTACAATAAATAATGACATCCAAAGTAATTCTGAAGAAAGTACTTAATTTCTTTTTTCTTTTTTTTTCCCCAGCATCTACTCGAACAAGAATGCAAAAGCAGAAACTGAATGATGGAAATGATACCTCAGCCACTGAAGAAAAGTGAGATTCTTCTCAGGACCAGGGGCTGCACTGCAGGCCCTCTTAGATTGTTTTTGTTTTATGGGCTTCATTAACTGAGTTGCTTTTTTAGTTACTTTTTATTCCAAACTGCTAGTTGAAAGCATTTGGACCTTTTAAATTTTTAAATGTTTTTGATGATACTTTGCCTTATGATGTAGCATATATACAATGTAAGCCACTGAATTTAATTTATATATTTTTTTGAGGATTTTAAAAACATATTTGGAAAGTGTCTTAGTTTCCTATGGCAACATTACTGATTTAAGCCAATTCAGTCTACTTGGATTGAATTTATCTGTCCGAAGACAAAATGTTAGCTCGAATGATTTGAAATGCACTAATTTTGTTTCTTAGATTTCATTTTTAGATTTTCCTTACTTGCAAATTTTGAAAATGAGGGGCCAGATACTGCAAAGATTTCTGTCTCTGTGTATAATGAGCGCATCAAATTCCCACTAACTTAAACCGCGCAGCGGTCATAGACCTTGCAGAGTCAGGGCCTCCTGTCAGAAGTACAACCTGAATTCTCAGTGAACTCATTACGGAGCCGTACTACTGAAACCAATACTTAGTGTTTTGTAGTCTTCTTTCCCCAGCTCTCACCCCAGTGTAATTTCAGGCTGTCCATCAGCTTGAATTTCATGCAATGTGAGTCCCACAGAGATTCTGCCCAGAATCCCACAGAGAATCTTCCCAGAAGCTGAAGCTTCTTCCCGTATGCAAAGTTCTTGATGTGCACTTTCTTATCTTGGAAAATCTCAATTATTAAAAGAAAAAAAGAACTCCAAACCTAAAGGCCACCTGGCACAGATAAGATTGCAAAATTCTAATGATGTAGAATTTTCTTGATTTCTTCAAGTTTTTGTCAAACTGTAGCCAAGCCAAATAGCTTGAGAAACAGGCACCCAACCTCTTTCCTGTAGCTGAAAGCCAAGCATCTCCAGTTGGGTTCCAGGTCAGAGTAGCCTGGTCTCTAAAAGCACAGGGCATCTCCTGTCGGCCTTGCTCCAGCGTGTGCACAAAAGCCCAACTTGGTCAGCCCAGGGTGGGAAAGTCACTCTGCCTTATTTTACTGAAAAGGCAGAGTTTAATAGGCAACTTGCAAACTGTTGCAACTAGCAAAAAAAAAAAAAAACACGCCCAAAACAACCCAAAACTTTTTTCATTTTACATATTTGTAAGTTACCAATTCAGATACTGGAATTTTTCTTGCAATGACAAAGTATTTGCAAAATAGCCAGCTAAGGAAAGCACATGTTTTACTTCCAGTGGATTAAAATATAAGTAAATAAATGAAGTCTTGCTTTAAAATGACCCATTTTTATGAAATCTAGCTTTTCCAGCTACCTAAATTAAAACAGTTAGAGTAGGAAAGCATGCTCTTCATTACACAAACATTTTAAAACAACATCTTCTCCGGGTAGCTTATTTGGAAATTGTTTAGCTGATCCTAGAATACTTAAATTAGCCTGTTTTAAAGATCAGTCCTTGTGTTGAACGGAAGCTAATCCTAGAGCTACTCAAAATTCTACAAGCAACACACTGATTCGTCAATGAATTTTAAAATAAGATTGAGTTATTTTTTTAGTCTCAATATGGCTTCAGCTTTCTTCCTGAAAAATGTACGGAAGTGTTAAGACTACCTTATGTTTATTTTCTCACTTCTTGCAGCTTTACAGACAGAATATATGTTAACATATACACTGAGTGTAAGCTCTGTTACAGCTCTTCACATTCTTGCACGATCCTTTGGCTGGAGGGGGTGACAGTACAGAGCCCAGTACCTAAGCAGATTTATTATTTCTTTACTGTGACAATGTATTTTTTTTGTTAAAACAGACTGAAGGCTTTACATCAAATGTATAATAATATTTTATACTAATCAGTTTCTCTCCTTTCAAGATAAATAAAATAGCTTTTAAAAGATTTACAGTTGGTAATTTTCTTTTATTAGATGAGAAGGTGAGTTTATATGGTAACGATGTCCTTCTGTATCACACTTCCACCACGATCCTGCAGCTGGTACAAGCAGAGGTCACTCCATCTCCAGCGATTCCCTCTCGGTGCAGAGGACCGAATAGCTGTGCTGTTGGGCTTGGAGTTCCCTTCCGAAGTTTCTGCAGGACATTCTGGAGATGTTCTCTCCAGAGCTATTGTCCCAGGGTGACCATTGGTGTAAGGCTTCTGGCAGACGCAGGCCCGTAGCTGGTCGGGGTCACTGTCGCGGCCCTTGCAGAGGTGCCTGTGGCGGTCCCTCCGGGAAGTTGGTATCTGCATTTAGAAGCGTTCCCATCGTTTCACCACTCTGCTTTTTCAAAATTGATTCTTTTGCTCTCAGAACTGCTGGAAATAGCCCAGGATGTCAAAACTCCTGCATAAGCCACCAGGGCTTTCCGAGCTGGGTATCTGGCTGTAGGCACGTCAGCCCTGCAGGCTCCCTGTCCTTGCTTTATTAGAGTCCAGAGGTGCCCGTGACTCACAACTCTGCTGAACTTGCAGTGCTATTTATAGCATCGCCATTCATCGCAATGCTCAGAGCACAAAGGGCACTGGCTGACTTGCCAGTCCCTGCCCCCTCTAAAAACACATTTTCAGAGTCTTATTTTTAAGCAGATACATCTGCAAATAAGTGCGTATTGAAACGAATGGCTTTTTATCAGATTTGGAAATGATGCTGTGTTTAGGAGTACCTTTCTTACAGCAAGACCTGGTTGTATTCAGAATGGCCTAGAATATTGAAACTGTATTCCAGGGAGAAAGAAAATTAGGACTCGGAGCAGAAGAGCTGGACAGAAAAGGTGACAGGCGTTTTAGGTGCCTAACAGCAAGGGTTGCACCACTGATCAAACTCTTCCTCTAATCACTGTGGAGAAATGTACCTTTGCGGAGAAAATTTGTCTCTGCCTAAGCTCTATGTGTAAAATGAGGTCAGGTGGATTGCATCTCGGAAAGGCCTGTTGCTCTCCATTGATGCTAAGGGGAATTTAATCTATGACATGGCTGCGTAGCCATCTCTAGGTGGATGAGCTAACTCCCAGCCTCTTTATTTGCCGTTTTATACCTTAATCTCTTCCTGCTGTCCCCCATTTCCAACCGCTGTTTGTTCTTACAGGTCACAGGAACTTGTTTCTTCCTCCCTGCATTTGACTTGCAAATGAAGAATTTTGTCCTGAGGGGCTGTAGTAAACAACCAGTTCCTCACAGGTACTGCGACAGACGTTGTTCTCAAGTGCAGGAGTGGCTGCAGGAAGGCACCTGTGTCAAATGTGAAACAGCTGGAGAAGATTACAGCTGTGTGATGCTGGTGCAAAGTACAAGCTGAAATATTTTTAAATGTAACAAATAAGCTGGTCGTAACTTACATTTGCTTCAGAAACAATTATTGGTGTTTTGAGGACAGTTTTATTAATCATTAAGTCACTAGAGCATTAATTTCTTTGAAAGGTGGAAATAGACTTAGCAAATTGTCCAGCTTTTTTGCAGACTTGGTTTTCATTCTGCTTATAAATGCTTTATCTGGTAGCAGTTATTTCCTGAAGAGCACAAACAGTCTTTAAAATATCTCTCTGAAATATCATCTATTTCTATTTTTCCCCCACTACTAACTACATAGTCAACTCTCTTTACAAGTGTCAGATTTGCTTTGCTTTTACTGAAAAGAAAGGAAAAAAATCCTACTCATACTTCTTAAATATTACGCCATTTTTATTAACGGTCTATTAAAACCAGGCAAGTTTATGAAGAAACAAGAACTCAAAACACAATTTTATGTTTAGGCTGTAAACTTTCTACATCAGTAGGTGGTGGGCAATGAGTCCTGTCTCTAGGGGGTAATTAAATGCTTTGCTTTACAAGGAAAGCCCATGGAAATTGTTCAGGTCATATAAAAACAGCAATTTACATTGTTAGCAGGCATTGTAACAAAACTCTAGAGGTGGGTATGAGATGACAATGCAATGCTGGCTCTCAGCTTCAGTAACTTAAGGGAATATTTAAATATTCCCTTATCTCTGTTGTTTCTTTTTCTTCCAAATTCCATGGGATTCAGCAAGTTGCCCACCTGGTTCCCCTTCTGCAAAGTGGAACATCCGTCTTTATTTAAATCCCAGATACAGTTTATGCTCAACCTTATTTTCACTTTTTAACAAATACCTTTTTGTCTCTGGTGTCCTAAAACAGAACAATACTTATTCTTAAGTATTTAACCTGCAAGATCCACAAACAGAAGTTTGTTTCAGACCAGCTCACCATGATAAAATGCATCCCTAATTTCTTCTAAAATGTCCTATGATTGGATTTCAAGCACATATTTATAGACATGCATCCACATTTAACCACCTAAGCCAGTATGTTTTTTTAAACATTGAACTTTAGGTGCCAAGGAAAGTGCATGCAATGAAAGTTAAAAAATAAATAAATAAATGAATGTCTCTCTGAATGTAATGCTATCGCATCCAGGTCAGATGATACATACTCCGTGAAGAAAAGCTAACACTGACACGTTGGATCTTTAGAACCGCCCCCATTTGGTGCAGAGCTGCTTTTTCTCAAAATTTTCTCAGGCTTTGTAAATTACTCTGAAATCACAGCTAGGCTTTAATGTGTACAGTAGGCTGGAAATTCTGAGCAGGAAGGAAATAGATTGAAAAAAAAATGGCACTATTGGTTTTATTAAGCCAAAACTGCCTTGCTAAGAAAGCATGCCATTTTGACTACAGGAGTTGTTAACTACTGCATTAGGACCTTGAGCCAGCTGAGGGGAGTGGTACCACGCTCCCGTGCTGTCGCTCCCTGGAGTGGTGTCTCCAGGGACCCAGGCTCCTCATTGTGCAGGGAACGTTTTTGATCAGATGTTGAGTTAGAAACAATCATTTCACATTTACAGTTTTGGTTTGGGTCTTTTAAGTAAGTAAAAGATCAGAAACATTTGGAGAGATCTTTTATAGTACATTTCTTGGGAAGGCCGGAGTGACGGAAAGGCCCCTGTGAGTGGCACCGGTACCCAGCCGTTCCATTCCCTGGTGGGGCGGGCTGTGTGCCAGCACAACACCGCCTATGTGGGGCAGGATCCGGCACAAGCTGCTAGCCCTACTCAAAGGGTGGGCTGGGGTGGGACACCTGCTTTCTGTCTGCTGCTACGGCTAAGAAAGTGCTGGCAGGGGAATCTGGCAGTTCTTGAGCCCAGGACTGAAAGGGGCAGACTTCACTCCAGCCATCCCTGGCTTAAGCAAAACATCTGGGCTTACCCAGCCTTGGCTTACGTAGAATTGCCTTGTGTCCATGCTCTGGTACGATTAGTGTTGGGCTATATCCTATCAGATTTGCAGTAAAGTTGTGCCCTACCAACCATGATGCTGTTTTACTGCCTGCATTAACCGCTATCGGTGTGCCTGAGGCAAGTGCTTTTCAACACAAACTTAGCAAAACTGCTCTCGTCCCCCAGGGAAGTTGTGGTTTTGCTGAAACTGCATTATGTACTGGAAAGTTTTTGACCAGTTCTGTTTGAATACAAAATACTGACACAGCTTCTGCAGTATGGACTTAGGCCGCTGGAGGAAGTTGTACTAATCACTGAGGGGGTGGCAGAACACACTTGTTAGCAGTAGATGATCCAATATATTTCTGGTGAGAGTCTGAGGTGAATGTCTCAAACACAAGTAATTTTTTACCACGGCATTTTCCAAAATAATTTGCTTGTGGCCCTCTTCCTAAGTAAATTCTGCCGTCTGCATGCCTCACCCTTCCACCCTTCCACAGGGACCGATGTGAAGAGAGGCACTACTCACTACTACTTCTCAATTTCTTCTTTGAGGATGTGCTTCTTCTTTTCCTCCTCCTCAAGGAACAGGGTTGTTTGAGAAATGATCCTCCAATATAATAAAGAACAGTTATTTCTGCTTTAGAAATGAGGAAGTGAGGCTGTGATCATTTAAGGGAATTAGGTTCTTGGAAACCACATTTTGAGGATTAGAAAAAGGCATCAAAGGATTCTGTAGCCCAGCAAGGATCTGAAGGAAGGTTGCATGACGAATTATATTAGTTATATTAGCCTAGTCATCTAGCTTCTCGCCTTCTCCATTTGTAAAACACTACAAAAGGCACTTAAAGCCACTTCACCCAGTCAAAATTTTAAGAGATGATTTCTCAGGGTTAATTCACAGTTGCCTGTTAGAAAATTCAAGTAAATGCTTCATGAGCTCAGCATCTTCTGTAACTGGGAAAACCTCCCTCTGTGCAACACGGGGTAGGGTTTCATCTTAACTCACTTTAGTCAGTTAGAAATTAAGCCTCTACTCTACCTTAGCCATCTGGTCCCCTTGATGGTCAGTGATGAGAGAGGCATGTCCAGAGGGCAACTCCTCTCACCAAAGACGGGCAGGTAAGGTAAGTGGTACGGTCACCTGGCAGCCCTGACCAAAGGAGAACCTGAAACAATGTATTTGGACAAGGTGTCCTTATTACCATGTAAAAAAGTGAGTTTCACTCATGATATAATTGTTAGAGCCATTTTATCACTTCAAAACTATTTTTTTTGTCCATTTTTCTTAAAATGATCGATCTGGGCATAGATAGTAAGACAGGAATAAACAAACCTCAAGTGGAACTTCCCTTTCCTTGACGTTTTGTTTGGGTTTCTTTTTCTTGGTAACAAGCAACCAGTTAGTTTTCTGAGTACCAAAACAGCACAATAATTCAAATCCAGACCAATACTGTGAATACTTTCTGGCCCATTGGGTGCCAGGGAGTGTGCTTGGTGTAATGGAAAGGAAGATTTTTTTCATTCTTTCCGCAACAATGGACATAAATGCCAGGAACTCAAAACTGTAATATCCAGCTGAAGCTTTTCATGGCTTACGTATTTACACTCCAAATAAACACCAAGTGAGACGTATCCTCCTACCAATCAGAAAGCCTCTTGTCCTAAAGAATTTATTACTTTATCCTATGTTCAGAAAAACAAGTTTGTATCTTCACCAGATGATAAACCAGGCACAAAGCAGCCCACTATGGCATACTAACTTAGTTTGGTGATACAAGTATACTATGAAAAGTTTAGCAGCAAACAGGTCACTGTCCCATAAAATCCAAATGCAGGTTGGTTTAAAAAAAGAAAAAAAACCCTCAAAACAGGCAGACACGATAACGATAGCTTAGTTTGCTTGACTTTAAGTGATAGTTAGTGCATTAGATTTTTGTCGTTAAATTCTGACTGTTGGCAACGAACTCTCACCATACATCTATGCTGCAGCCATCTTTACGAAACCTGTATGTTAGTGGGCTTTTACACATTGCCTAAGCTGTTGGACACTGAGTCTTTCTTTCCAAACCTTTGCACATTCTGACCATGGGTAAGTTCTCCAAAGGAGAAGTATTTCCAGAAGGGAAGAGGATGCACTCTTCAGCTTGGTGGTAGTCAGACCTCAATTTCGGAACGCTCCCACTCTGCTTGCTTTGCTAATGAAGTTTTTCAGGAGGTCGTGGTCCATTTCTGCAAAGCCTTGAGTTTGCGTAACAACAGTTAAATGGTTTATGCAAAATCTGAAGCAAAATTCTTCCAAGTCCTAGGAACAAATTGAGGTAATTTGTACTATGAATGACTGATAGCAAAATTATTATTTTTCAAAACTGTCATTTAATGAGCACGGAAGATACCAGATTGTTCACATTACCAATCCCTTTTCTGATCAGTTTGATTAGATCACAAATGATAGGATGAAATTTGTTCATATAAACTATTCAATAAACTCCCTCTGAGAAAACAGGAGTAGCCACCTAAATCAACTCCAGAACTCCATCACATTTACTGAGCTCATTAGAAAAGTTATTAGTAAGTGAAACCATCAACTTTCCCCACCTACAACTACTAAAGCATCAGTAACTCCTTTCTTTTCCTCCCTGCACTGAACTCAGTAGTGGTCCTGTGAAAAACAGAAAATACCCTAGTCTTACTGAAAATAAAAGCAAAATATGATGTAACATTCAGTGATGCTCGCTGAACACAAAGTGGATGTTAGCATACATGCGTCTTTCATGGCAAACCTAGGAATTGTGTCCCCCTATCTAGGAACTGGGATTCCTAGACAGCAAAAATGGGTCTGTCTTGTCCTGGTCTTGCTGTAACAGGATGTTCAGATATTCAGCACAGGACAGGTACAAGCCATGAATCCATACAACCATGATTTCACACAGCCAATTTTGCCCATTCAAACTCCTCATAGCAGTGGTAATCCTTCTTTCCATGCACTACGTCAATTCCCTTTATCTCATTCCTATGCAACAACTTGCTGTTGAAGGAAAATGAATTACCTTCTGCAGCAAGGAGAGATGGAGCCAGCAGCAAGGCAAGCCTAAATTGCCCATATGCTCCATGATCTATAAACTCTTCAAGGGTTACAGCAAAAAGAGGTCTCTTAATCCATGCCAGTTTTATTCTATGTTAATTACACAAACATTGCAGCCAGGGATTAATAGTAGAAAGAAATGTGGCAGAATACCTATGCATTTCCTTTTGAAACCTTTTCCTTAGATTGAATGTTTCAAGTCTATTGCTCCTGTCAAGATGTGACTAAAGCTTTAACAGAGGCCAAGCAGCACAAAATATCCTTTAGGAAAAAATAGGGTAGCAACAATGCACAGAAGTGAATTGTATCTCTCATCAAAAAGGACTGGAAAAGCAAGAAAAGGAATAAGAATAGAAGAAGAAATAAAAAAACGTAGAAGTAGTAAAAAATGTGGAAGATCAAAGACACTGACAGCTTAAGTTTCTGCAGACCTCTGAAATGCTACTGCCAGAACCTGGGTTGCTTTACAGTCAATGTGCAAACTTCTACACTAAGTAAAATGAACAGCAGCTGCCTTTTCTGGTACTCGTCTATGAAGAGGACCATAGATATCACAGAATCTTGGTCACTAATTTTGCAGTTTCAAGAAATACTGGCTTTTAATTCTGTTATATAGAAGATGATTAATCTAAAATTTGCTACAGTGTATATTAGAAATATGCTTTAAAATATCTTGTAGCAGCAACTCTTCATATTTTCTGAGGATAGGACAAAATATTTTCAAGCATTTTTAATCCTAGCAGATGCATACAGTAGCTAAGTCAGTCTTCAGTTAATTTGACATGTTAATGGCAGATGACAAAGCACTATAATCTTTCACTTTCAGTATTCACATTTAATGACAAAACATTGAATTAATTCTATCTTTTCAAACTTCCAAAATATTAGGCCTCTTTCATAATCCTTCTTTGGACAGTTTTCTACTGAAGTGCTGACAGAGCACACATGGTTCCTGAACCAATTTTTGCTATATTAATGTAGGATGCTAAAAGATCCTGGCTTACTTCATGATTCCTTAGACAGGGACTCTCCCATATCTTTGATAAAGAAGTCTTTGCTGCATTCTCTGAAGCGGTTCTAGTATATCCCTCTCTGAGCTGGGGATGTAGGGAGGAGGGCAACAAACCACTCCTGAGTTTGGCACGTGCTGCACCCGGGGCAGGTGAACCAATTCATCATCTGATGATCGTGTTAAAATACTGCATGTTCTGAAAGAACTAGGCATACAGAATAAAACTCTGAATCATAGAAGGAAGAGGAGGATAACATGTATTTAGTCATCTTGCCAATCCCTTTTATTGTGTTTCAGCCATGATAAACTCTAGTACTTCGTCCAGGCTAGTTTTACTACTTCACAGCACACCTAAGTATATCTTTAGCTACTCTTTAACTACTTTACCTGACATAGGTCAACTAAAGGTACTCCTCCTTTGAAGATGTTCAAAACTGCTGAAAAGCTTCTAAGAGGAGAACCTCCAGAGTAAACTTTTAATGAAAGCTTCTGATGTTAGAAGAATCAAATCACTGGGTCCTCCCTTCCCATCCATCCTTCCCCGGTATGCTGGGCTTCTACCACCACAACACATTGAAAAGACAATTCCACTTTGCCTCGGCTGTTCATGCCTTCTCTTACTGATACCTTGGTTACAACTGCCTTGTAACCGGCAGCTGATAATCTTATTATCTCCTAATCTGATGTTATCCCCTCTTTACAGAACTCGCTGACTTCCGGCCTCCTCTTTGCAAGTCCTACGCAAATTCATCTCATGTAGCACACTGCCTCCACACAGCACAGACTACTGCAACGTTTTTAACTCAGTTTTTGTTTCAGTCCCTTCTTCCTACTTGCTTCCTGTACCTGAAACTGTTTATCAATCCAGTGTATTACACTTCAAGCCTCTCCTTTAAAACTTCATCCTACATTTCACTGCCAGGCAAAAGCAAAAAACCCAGTATTTTTAGAAAACATTGTTAACAGTTACATATTTAGGCTCTTCTAACAGGTAATCTTCTGTCTGGCTATATTAATTTTATTCTTGTAAAGCAGGAGAAATCTTGAACAGAAAGATGAGGACTTCTCAACTAAGACGCTCAGTTATAACAATGGGCACTAAGTCTAAAATACATATGCGGACTTCTTGAATAACAAAACCCACCACATCATTATTTCCACAATCAGCATAGCAGTAAGAAGTTGAGAAAAGGAAAACATCTTTGAAAGTATTTGTCTGTTTACAAAAAAAAGCGCTTGCAGTACTGCTGATAACAGGTCTAGTGCTTGTGAGACATTCCAGAGCCAAGGGCAGACCAGATGACAGGATATGGGGAGAGGAATAACAATAGCTAATTTGTTGTATGTCACCACGATTCCTTGTAAACAACAGGGCAAAAGTGGATTTATTTTTTTTTATATAAGTACAAGTGTAAATAGGAAGGGACTTTACAGGTAAATTCTCCCACTGCCTGGAACAGGCGTTACCAGAATGACTGTACCAGACACCAGCAGACAAAATGATCAGGTGGACAACTCAGGAAGTGAACAGGCAATGCAAAATCCAAAGGTGCAGAAGTAAATGGCAGTGAGAAATTTGCATGCCGTGCTGTGCCAGATGACAAGGCAGGAAGCAGATTAAGACTCCTGACTCACAGGTGCAAGCCAAAAGGCCAGGAAGAAAACAATAGCAGCTGCATTTTTTTATAGCTTAAAAAGGGGAAAACAGATGTCTGGGAAGCCAGAAAGGGAAATTGCAGTAATCATGCCTCATAATTTAAATGCAGTTATGTTTACATTAAACAGTTTCATTTCTCAGAAAACAACTGCTTTCCTGAAAAGGCGTTCTCCTTACCTGAGCTTCATATTTGACAGCAGCAGAAAGAAGAGCAATGGCATTCTCTTCACAAATGCCTTGTTTGATCGTTTGCTGGCAAAGCTTTTTCAATCTGTTTTCTCTATACAGTGTTGCCAAATCTAGCAGTCCTGTAAAAATTCATACAGCTTTAACTATCCTGGTGCAAAGCATATTGATTTATTTTCAAATTAATCAATTACCCTATTGTTTTAGGCTGAATTAATCAAAGACTTGTTCTGGTTTTTCCCTAGATGATGTGTGCATTTTTAAAGGTCCTCAAAAGACATATCAAAAAGGGAGCTTTTTATTACTATACAAGTGTTACTGTCTTCTTGTTCACTTTATTGTATCTCATTCTAGGCATCAATTAGTGACTTACATTCTTACAGCTCCCTTTTCACTCATGATCAAATTGCCACAGCTACTCAAATAAAAGAGTTTTAGGATGGCATTAGTGGCTTTTTAAGGAAAAAAAAAGTTCTTAATAAAAGAAACAATCAGTTCTTTCTGAACATTTTGCATCTTTGATCTTATTGCATCCCCACCACTCATTCTCCTTGGCCATGTCTCCTGCTACTGCATCCCTTCTTCCTGACACCTGCCAAACTCAAGATTTAAGTGCTAATAAAACTAAAATTAACAAGCCCTGCTTTCCTCACCCTGTTATGACACAGAAATCGAACTTTTCAGAAACAGTAACCTAGAGTTCTTTCCATTTATGGCAAATACCTATTGCATCTTCAGGAGGGAGCCTAATGTTGTCTGTATACAGGTATTCCAGGAAGGCTCGGTAAACAGGATAAGAAAATTCACTCATTTCTATAATTTCATCATCATTATTCAGTATAGAACGAAAATGTTCACACCTACAAAACATGAACAAGGATTGCATACTGTAAAGAGTTAAGCTTGAAAGATGAGCTGCAGCAAGAAGTGGTAAAAAAAAAAAAAATAAATCAGTCATAACAGACTAAATATACAACCATAAACCCTAGCTACATGATTTCTTGGTTAGAACATGTTAGTTTCTTTAAGCCCTATAAGGCTTATAAGGCTTATAAGCCTTATAAATAAAATTCAGAAGTTTCCTTTATTTCTGTGATTAATATTTTATAGCAGGCTCCATTTCTATTTAGAATGTCTTTAAGGATGGTCTATGTGTTTTTGATGTCATTTTCTTAAATATGTTATACGTTAACTATGAATTTTATTACCTGGCTCGTAACAGATAACGTTTACAATTGATTTAGACAATTCTCACATTTCAGCCTGCTTTCTCCAACATGATCTAGTGAGGAGGGAAATTATTAATATTTTAGATAACATTTATTGCGGTGTCAGAGTCCATACACAATTTAGCATTAGATTTAATCATTATACTCGAAGATTAAAATATTTAAAGTGAAGACACTCTCACCCAGATCATTCATCACCTTGTTCTTCTAAGTCTGAATACTTTTGTGACGGACAATATGCAAGCAAGGAAAAAGCATTGCCTTTGACAGCTGTACTCTGCAACTTACAGTTCACAGTAACTTACAACTCACTGTAACTTACTGCTCCCTAAAAAACATCCTGTAACATTTGAATTGTTTTCAAAATTTTTGCTGATATATATGAACATCATCACCTCAGATAACTTTTCCTGTAACAGCCCCAATTTAACCGGACTCTTACATTACCCTGCTTAATTTCTAACTCTCCCACATCAGAATTTACTTTTCTTATACTAAAACTTTCATGTAGAAGGTAGGTTGGTTTCCTTTTAATGTCTCTGGGACAAGTCTACATTGTAAAGACAGCATAACTTAAACAAAAAATAATTATTTATTTTATCACTTAATGTAACTTCTTCACATTTGATTTTACTGGCTATTTAAAGTCTTTTTTTCTTATTATTTTATTTTTTAATAAAATAAATAAACCTCAAGTCACATTCATGAATAATTAAAAAGCCATTATTAGTTTCTGCCACATCTTTTACCACATTCTGGCACTGGAAGAGGCAGACCAAACCATTGCTTTGTTTCCCAGAGCCTCATGTGAAGCAGCGGTGACCCTGCTATCCATCCAGCTGTGGAACAGACCTTGGGAATGATCTGTTGCCCCAATGGCACCACACAAAAGTAGAAAGTCAGAGAGAAGGTGGTGCACATTGCTCCCTTAAAAATAAATAAGTAAATAAATAAAAATCAGTTGGTACTTATCCTTCAGTCTGCAAAGGCTGGCACTGGTGAGGCCGCACCTTGAATCTTGTGTCCAGTTCTGGGCCCCTCGCTACAAGAAAGACCTTGAGGTGCTGGAGTGAGTCCAGAGAAGGGCAACGAAGGTGGTGAAGGGTCTGGAGCACAAGTCTGATGGGGAGCGGCTGAGGGAGCTGGGGTTGTTTAGCCTGGAGAAGAGGAGGCTGAGGGGAGACCTGATCACTCTCTACAACTCCCTGAAAGGAGGTTGTAGCCAGGTGAGGGCCGATCTCTTCTCCCAAGTAACAAGCGATAGGACAAGAGGAAATGGCCTCATGTTGCACCAGGGGAGGTTTAGATTGGATATTAGGAAGAATTTCTTCACCAAAACGGTTGTCAAGCATTGGAAGAGGCTGCCCAGGGAAGTGGTGGAGCCACCATCCCTGGAGGTATTTAAAAGATGTGTAGATGTGGTGCTTAGGGACATGGCTTAGTGGTGGACTTGGCAGTGCTAGGTTTACGGTTGGACTCAATGATCTTAAAGGTCCTCTCCAACCTTACCAGTTCTATGATTCTATGAAAGTACCTTAGAGTGACTGACCCTTTGGAGTGCCTCTCCCCCCCTCTCAGTAGAGGTCAACCAGACACCTAATTTTGGCTGGCTAAATGCAGAGCAGACAAATGCCACCCACATACTCATATGTATCTGTTTCTGCAGGCAGTATATTGCTTGGCCAGCCTCCCACTGAGCCAGGCATTGCCCTGCCTTTTCACCACCATCGCAAGCTAATAAACCACCAACAATATAATCTAGTTCAACAGCAGGCATAGAGTAAGATGGAAAAAAAAGTCTTCATAATTAGTCAAGAAATGACTGGATAATGAAAAGGAACTTTTACCAGCACTGTATTCATGACAATGCTCTGGAACAGACTGAATGCTGCAAAATACCATTTTAAATACGTTATCCACTGATCCAGTTGCATCATGAGACTATAAGGCTTAAACCCAAACTAATTCTACAGACTGTGCCTGACACTTTATTATTCCTGCATATTATTTTGATAATTCCATTCATTTAAATCCATTTTAGAATTAGACATATTTCCTTCCCAGAATGCCAGATAATCTGAGAAAAGTAGAGCAAGAAAAAAGGAATAAGGAAAAGTTACATACAGTCTGATTTTCAGGAAAAAGAACCTCAGAAACATTTTGGGGATACACAAGATTTGAAGTGGCATCTGATGAAGGAAGGACATTCCAAACAAAGAGGGTGGACTATAGGCACAAGTGTAATGTACAAGCAATAAAACCAGTAAAGGGAAGAAAATAGTAATACAGATAATTGGAGTAGTAAGAGGAGAGCAGAAAAGACCAAAAAAATGGTAGGCAAGAATTAACGAAGAACTTTAATTTTATGCAGTAATATAGAAGTAATCACTAATGGGACTCAGGAGCAAAAGTAGGAAGATGAAAGTGGTGATAAGCAGGATGAGATAGCCAAGCATTTTGAGAAAGAAAATAGCAAAGAGAAAAAACTATGGTAACAACAAGGAGGATGGAGCAGAAGCAGTTAGCAAGACAGAAGAGATCTAAAGCAAAGTCTCTAGCATATCCTAGTAGAAACTGCGTTAGCAATAACAAACTAATCTCTGCATGTTAATAACAACATGAATACTCTGTAGATCTGTGTATGTCAAATCTCCCTGTAAAGTGGTGTTAACTTGCAAAAAGTTGTAAAAACAAAAAGAGAAGCCAGCTTAAAATTCAAATTCACTGATAAGGTTTAAAACAAGTAGGATAAGAAATCTGACAAAAAAAGGAGAAAAAAAAGACAATCTGAAGAGCAGCTACAGAAATTGCTGAAACAAGTGAAGGGTCTTGTGGAAGGAAACAAAGGCAAGAATAAACGCAAAATACTCAAATCATCCCAGTGGAGGAAGCCAAGTGGATAAAGGAGGAAAAACTGATTCAAACTACTGGGAAGGCAGCAGAAAGAAGTGAGCCTTTTCCTCAGCAGAAAAACGTTATTAGACATGAGAGTCAAGGCTGTTTAGGGAGCACGAAGGAGGATACACGTCAGATGCAGAGAAGTGATGGAAATGCTGGTAGTAAGCAGCATGTTTGGTAATTCCAAGCAGCGAGAAAATGAGGAAAAGAGAGTGACAGTGAAGAACAGCAAGTGAATCCCACGGCTGAGGGAAAAGGGAGTTTGTAAAAATAAGTTAAGAATGTTGAGCAGTAATCATAGAATGGTTTGGGTTAGAAGAGACTTTAAAGGTCATCTAGTTCCAAACCCCCTGCCCTGGGCAGGGACACCTTCCACCAGATCAGGTTGCTCAAAGCCCCATCCAACCTGGCATTCAACACGTCCAGGGATGGGGCATCCACAGCTTCTCTGGGCAATCTGTGCCAGTGCCTCACCACCCTCACAGCGAAGAATTTCTTCCTCATATCTAATCTAAATCTTTCTTCTTCCAGTTTAAAGTCACTGTTCCTTGTCCTATCACTCCATGCCCTTAATTACTCGGCACAGTGGACTACACTATACACTATACAGTTTAGTTTATATAAACTATGCAGTTTGTGCCTTACCTAATTTTGAGAAGAACTTTATGAACATGAATGTATTTTCCATCCACTAGAAACTTCAGGTCTGCAGTTTCAGGGTTGTCAAATTCCTTCTTCAGTGACTGGGCTACTGTTAGATGGTCATCAGGCTCTAGAATAAAAAGGGCAATTAATAGTAAGTAGTAAGTAATACAAATATCTCTCATGATAATTGCTGATAGATACCCAGGATGTTAACACTCTTAATAAATATGACATCTCTTTAAGGCTAGCAAAAAAACCCCAGCAGACTATGTGTTCAGTATGAATCCCCAGAAAAGCAAATAAAGAGCAGCTTTCTTCAATCCTTACTAGGTTCCTACTCCAAACAAATACCCTATTAAAAAAAAAAAAAAAAGTCCCACTCCTCTAACTTATATAGATAAGGTCAGGAAAAAAAAATTAACACAGTCTCAGAAGTTTCATGCTGCATCTGATAGCAGTCATTACTGGGTAAATTATTCTAAATGAAAAGTGTTAGTTATGCTAAGATACCCAAAAGGTCAATAAAAAGTCACAGTAAGATTTTCTAAAGTACTCCCCTGAGGAGATACTATCTTACAGCAGAAATAAAGTTACTGTATAAACAACATATTGGTTGCAGTTAAACTGCCCAGTGCATTGTTCCTAAAGTTAAATACCAACAGTTACAAGTCCATGCAAAAAGTGTTTTCCCCAGGCTTATGGCGTTAGAAGCCCTCTGTGCAAATGTCTGCATATTCCTGTTTGTGTCACATGTATGCATATGTGACTGTGCATGCGACACTTGCATTATAAAGTTACCAGACAGCTTTGAAAAGTCACCCATTGTCTGCATAAAAATTTTTGTCTCCTGAACTGTTTTCAAATATCCATCATATTACAGTAGCCTCAAAGAACTATCTTCTTTAATACTACTAAAAAAATAAATCCTCAAACCTCCTTCTTAACCCAGAAAACATTTTGTCTTCTTACCATATAAATATACATTTTTGGTTCATACAAATTTTGTGGGTCAGTAATAAGCTGTTCTCTACAGAAAGTTACACAAATGCTAGGTCCTGTAGCCTACCAAGCTAGAAATAAGAATAGTATTCTGCTGGAAATGGGAAGACCTTCACCACAAGCTCTAGAAAAAACTTAACACACGCAGTTTGATACTGTTATACTTTGTTTAGCACAATTATTTTGCATTTCATTTAGAGGACTTCATTTATGTTTGGGTATACCCAATTAGGGCAGTTATTATCAAAGTGGATTGGATTACAAGTAAAAGGATTGGGCAGCAGGAGAAATCCAATGTAACGATAATAAAAAATCCTTCTGAAATACTGATACTGTAAAATACTTTTTCATTCTTATTTGGTCTAATGTGGTTTACTTATTCAGACCTCTGCTATCCAAGTAACTAATAATTTTAACAACCAATGCAAAGCTGAAGCTCTTCTTCAAAGTTAACTGGCAATTCAGATGTCCACCAATACACATCGCCAGATGACTTCTACAGCCAGCAGAGGTAAACTGAATATAGTGGGGTTCAGTTATGAAATGCTTAGAGGGAAAATGGCTGCTTTTATTTGTTACTGCAGTGAAGGGGGAACCAGAGGAAGGAAAAGAAGAGGCAGTTCACACTGACAAGGCACAGTCAGCGCTAAGAATTGCAATAGAAACGTTAGAACTGCCACAAACGGGGAACGAATGGGAATGCCTGGGTGTGGAAGCACCAGAACACAACAGACGGAGAAGGGCTGTAAGCATGGCAGATGTCCATGGCACCTAGTTCAGCAGACGTTAACATCCTAGGACACAGCTGCCAGATGATTCTGACTGCATTTAAATAACGAGACAAATAACAGTGAGTCAGTCCTGATGATTCGCCAAGGTGGGACAGGATGAAGAGACTAGTCACGCTTAGCTCCTAGAGCGTGCAAAAAGGCACATCCAAAACCACAACAGAGTCACCTAACTAAAAGGAATCCAGAAGACATAAGGGTCTGATAGCTAGCATCTTTTATCCTGTGTAATCACAAGGAACCCTGCTCAGACCACCTGAATACACATTTTAGTGCTGGGATGCTGGACGGAACACTTGGCACATATGTGAATGTGGGTTTGAAGTGCATCTGAAATTAGTTTTGTTTAAAAATAAAAGAACCTTTTCCTCGTATAAGGTTTCACCTTGTGCTTTGGTACAATGTTGCTCCAGTGTTGCTACATGATTTCCAAAGGGACCAAGAAGTCAAGGTCAAAAAACAAAACTAAAAGGAGCTGCTACAGTCAAAAATGACTCCCAAGGTATGAAGCAGTGCAAGGAAGCTGGGTGTATTGTTCACAGCAACAATGAAGGTGGGGATGAAAGATGTTGGAAATAGTTATGAATGTAGTCTTAACCACACAGTGTTAAAGAAAATAAGTATCTATGAGTATTAATGAGTAATATGTTTATTAATAAATGGGTTACTTGGAAGTCTTCAGCATAAAGGTGATAATTACATGAATGATCATATAGAATCCCACTCAGGACTCTTTTAGCTGACCTAAACCAGCATTTCTGACCTAAACGAGTATTTCTGACCTAAATCAGCAGTTGTAAAAGAAGAAAAGAAAAGGTGAATTTGCAGAAAGGAGCACTGAAAAACTGTAACAGACAGTTTCAGTCTCACTCGAGCAGTTGTCTTCTCTGTGAGGAATGAAATGAGGAAAGAGGCAGTTTTTGCTTCTTGCCTTCCTCCACTCTCCTTTGCAAAATTCCTCAATACTCTGCACTAACTGAGAAGAAAAGACAAGAGAAAAAGTGGACAGGAAATTCTGATAGCATGAAGTAGTATTTTAACTGGGCAAGAAAAATGGAAGCTGAAGAGCCCCAGAACTCTGCTAAGAAGATACATATAACTGAATTTATGATTAAGCTACATATACTAATATTGTCCCATTTCCTTCATAAAATAACCAATTCTATGGAAGAAAAATCTGAACATACTACACATACTTTTATGTAGAACTTACAGCTGACAAACGCATATTTACATGGAATGAACCAGCCCATTGCCTGGGATTTTAGTGCAGTAACACAATTTACATTTAATTAGTAGCAGGCAAATATTGAGAAATGGGCCTGTGTGAACCTCATGAGGTTCAACCAGGCCAAGTGCAAGGTCCTGCACTGGGGTTGGGACAACCCCAGGTATCAATACAGGCTGGGGGATGATATGATCGAGAACAGCCCCATGGAAACAGACTTGGGCACACTGGGAGATAAAAACCTGGACATGACCCAGCACTGTGCACTCATAGCCCAGACCGCCAGCCGTATCCTGGGCTGCATCCAAAGCAGCATGACCAGCAGGTCAAGGGAAGGGATTCTGCTCCTCTGCTCCGCTCTGGTGAGACCTCCCCTGCAGTACTGCCTTCAGCTCTGGGGTCCTCAGCACAAGAAGGACTTGGACCTGTTGGAGCGAGTCCAGAGGAGGCCACGAAGATAATCAGAGGGCTGGAGCACCTCTCCTGCGAAGACAGGCTGAGAGAGTTGGGGTTGTTCAGTCTGGAGAAGAGAAGGCGCCAGGGAGACCTTAGAGCAGCCTTCCAGTACTCAAAGGGGGCTTATAAAAAAGATGGGGAGGGACAGACTTTTTAGCAAGGCCTGTTACGACAGGACAAGGGGTAATGGTTTTAAAGTAAAGGAAGGTAGATTTAGACTAGATATAAGGAAGACATTTTTCACAATGAGGGTGATGAACCACTGGCACAGGTTGCCCAGAGAGGTGGTAGATGCCCCATCCCTGGTAACATTCAAGGTCAGGCTGGACAGGGCTCTGAGCAACCTGATCTAGTGCAAGATGTCCCTGCTCATTGCAGGGGGGTTGGACTAGATGACTCTTAAAGGTCCCTTCCAACCCAAACTATTCTATGGTTCTATGATACTATTCTATGTCTAGTAATATTAAGAATTTCCACAGTAATTAAGCATATATCTTACAGATCTGAACAAGCCACCCTAGAAAGTACAACTGCCTCAACGTAGAGAAAATGGAGGTCTTTGGACTGTGCCCGAAAACACGAATTTTAGCAAAGCAGTTTCCTGAGAACAGGATTCTCCATTTAATCCCCCAGTCTCTCAAAGCTGAAATATGAGTACTATTAACAGAATTTCTTTACCTTGGCATCCAGAAGGCACCAAGGGGGCAAAGAGTGTTCTACAATTGTCAGACAAAAGCATACAGCAAGATGAAAACAATTACAAACATAGTACAGAAGTGGAATGGAAGTATGATGGACTCAGTACAGTTCAAATCACAAATAAACAAGTTGCTGCATTCTAGCTTTTAGCTTAAGCTCCCAGATGACACCTAGACAACCCCAAGTGTCTCATCTTTGATTAGGTCAGCAAAGCCCATAACTTTATTAGGAATGGATATGGAATTGAATTTGTAGCTGAAGAATGAGCTCTGTCAGACAATGCTATATACTTAACTCTTTCTAGTCAAGGCCAGCAAGACAGACCTTAATGTTAATCAAATATCTGAGATCCAGCAACTTGTCTTTTCAGAAGCCCACGTCGTGACCACTTGTCATGAGACTCTAAGTGCCTGTGGCCAATTCTGAACACAGGAATTCGGCTCCTTCAGTTCTTAGTAGTCTACTTAAGGGCCTCAAAGAAAGCATCAAGGTTCCTAAATGTTCTGCACGGCTCCCTCAAATCTCCAAATTCAAACTCAACTTCTCTACCTGTGGCCACTGTACAGTAACATTCAGTGGTTACACAAAAAAACTCTCCCCAAACCCAAGGCATTTCCCCACAGAAATAAAGCACATCAACAAAACAATCATTTAGCACTGCCATCAGGCCTTAGCAATTTTTACAATTCCATATTACCATTTACACTTACGTAACACATGATTACAATTATGCTTCCCAGTATAAATTTTTGCAAGAAACTAAGTCTAGGCTTCAAATACATTCAACTGTTTTATGCACTAATGATTCTATTCAGAAGATATCAAAACAAAAAATATTTAAGCTCACCTACTGACAGAAGACGCCACATAACAGCAGGAGTAGCAAAGCAAGCAAACACATCGTCAGTGCAGGCAAAGTGAGTGAGGTGGGGAAGGATCACTGACTGCCCACGGCATTGGCCCCACATGTACACCTGGCCGCTCTGGGTCTTGGCAGCCGACGTGTGAGCAGAGTGGCAGGCTGCAATCTCTATAACTCTGAATTTACAAGCAAACAAAGAAAAAAGGCAAGTCACTCTCATAAGAACAAAATGCGGTGAAAAAGCTCATTACCTCTTGTCTTTCTCTGGCACAAAACATATCTATAAGCGTGCGTGTATTTCCAATTGGAAGGCTGTTTTCTGATCATACATAACAAAATTAAAATGGCTACCAACATTTCTTCAAATAGTGTGCACTCAAAGTTTCTTAGTGAAATAGCATCTTGGGAGTGAGGAGACACTGTTGCAGCAGAGCAGTATATCTGCTGCAGCACTTGCTCTACTGACCCTCGGCTCCCTCAAGCAAAGCTATGGTAAGTTTCAAATCTCTGAAGGTCCTCGGTGGTGCTGGGCAGTGAGGTGAGTGGCTGCATTAAGCTGTAGAGAACGAGTACTTGAAGAAGGAGGAGGAAATGAGGAGGCGTTTCCAAAAAAAAAAAACCACCAAAACACCCCCCCCAAAAAAAAACAAAAAAAAGGCATTTGCATTTTGGCTTATAATTGAAAGGTAATGAAAAACTTTTTCCTGCTTGCTTATTGGCAACAGTTATAAACCAACAATTTAAATACACCTCTCAATTAAAACACTGAAGTGTCATTACTCATACAATTATTATTACTTATGTGTACCAGACTTTCATTTTCAAAAGTAAAAATTAGAACCAAACAGCGCTAAAAGCTGTTTCTAAGTGTATTTTAGCTATGTCAGGCTATCTTACTAATCCTAAGGTTGATTTAGTGTTTCAAAACTCCCACTGCGTACAACATTACACAATTCACTGTTTTGCAGTCTGAACTACTGCTTGTTTACTTGTTTTCCCAGCTGCCTGGGGAAAACAGCTGGGAAACAGCTTGTTTAAAGCTGTATGTACAACTCCTGCAGGCTTTAGCGAGGCAATATCCTCACTGAGACCAAGAATGCATATTCCGGCCAACAAAAGGGAAAAGCAGCACACAACATTAAAACTTGTATTAAAATGTGGTAATATTTTAACTGCAGCCAAAGTGTCTGGAAAAAATCAGTTACATTTTAAGCAAAAGCACAAACACTCATAAAGAAATAGCAACTTTCAAAAACAGGCCATGTCTCATCACCAGAGAGGACTTGCCTCTTCCTTACAATAACGTACACAGACACAAATTTAAGAGGGACATCACACTTTTCTTATTATTCACAACAGGAGGCCAAAATCAAGACCTCAGCAGTAAGGAATATTCAAATGTCTGGCCACATATATACATGGCTTTACATTTGCAATAGAAACAACTGCCCTACTACCCATCAAGGATTTACAGGAAAATATTTAACTTCTAAAAATCTAAGCTTAATTTTCAGGCAACAATACCAAGAAAGAACTCCTCCCTTTCCCTCTCTCCTGGCTTATAAGCCAGATTTAATAGCAGAAATGATACAAATCACAGGTGTCCACTCTTCACTTGTTCTGTGTGTACTTCTTGTCAAAAGCAGCATATTAAAATACAATTTATATTCAGAGACAATAAAGCTTTTATCGTTGACTTCAAACAATGAAACTACACCACTGAAGAGAAACTGTAATTAAGGCCTATAAAGTACAGTGTGAGTCGAAGCAGAAAACAGCACATTCAGGCTCAGCACATCCAGTTTCTCTTTCACAAGGATGGTTATGGGGGAGATTCAAGCAATTTCAGTGAAAATTCTGTTCATATTTAGCAGAAGAACCATTGTAAAAAAAAATAGCCTATTTCTTCTAAAAAATAGATTAAAAATGCCATAATTTTCTGTAGCTCTTCTGAGAGTATGCCAACTAATGTCTCACTGCGAGACTGTAAGTATTACCTGTCCTTATCCACAATAACTGTCGTAGGGTAAGACTGGTTACTTTTATTCCCAGTACCTAACTGGCCATATGAATTGGCTCCCCAGGCATAAATCTGACCTTCATCTGTTAGCACTAATGTATGTGCATAGCCACAGGCAACCTATAAGGAATAATAAAAAGAAAAATCTCATTTTTATGTAACAGTAAGTCAATATACACAGATACATGTTACGCTATACATTAATGTTATTGATTCTATATCAGTGTGAAGATTACAAAAATTACAAATACAGATATGTTTATTAAAAAGGGAAGCAAAGTAGATGAGGTGACTGTGAGGAAAAAAAATGTATCAGTGAGGAACTCTGCCAGATAATCTCAAGAGTACAGCAAAAGAATGGCTAGAAATTGAGAAAGAAGGAAAGCCATATGACAAATATGAACAGTATGCAGAAAAAATGCAGAAAAAGGCAGATGATCTGTCTTGCACTGACCTTGCTCTATAGGCAAGTGCTCCAAGGTGAACAGCTTACCTCTGTAAAAACAGGCAAGGTCTCCCTATCTGCTCCTCTCCTCCCTGACTGCCAGTCACACAAAACTGCCCCGTCCCCATGCCAGCTCCAGGGCTCACCAGACCCTCCGCTGAGATAACTTAGATCACTGGAAGGGAACTCTCCATAGCCGGGCCTGAGGACCACCAGTGCCCACACAAGGTAAGCAATGGGAGCAGACAGCCAGGACAGAGAGGGAAGAGATGAAACTCTCCATCTTGATGGCAGCACACAACTGTCTCAGCTCACACCCTCTTGTGGAAACCCTCCGGGTCCCGCTGAGCTGCCTCCTCAGGTACCGCAGGTAAGGTTGCTTGAATACCCACTTTACAATCGACATGTGCAGCACATGCTGCATGTACAGATACACAGTGGCAAAATTACCAGCAACAGTCTTGCTCTGCATGAGTTAATGTAACCCGTTATAGCTAGATGGCCATCAATAACTAATTTATGTTGTTCAAAACTAACTCACGTATTTTTATACAATCTGCAAAGCAGATACACCATAAGTACATGTAGTCCACTGACATCCATGAAGCATGTGATGTGCTTTAAATGAAATAAATCCTTAAGTTATTTACTGATTGGAGGTCTACAACTTGGTATTACTCAATATCAAGCAAATGAAGTGGATGCAAATGGGATCTAAGTCAAACTAACTGGAGCACTCACACTCTCTAAACAGGAGAATAAATACAGGGGAAAATAATATTCACTTTATTATGTTATTCTCCAACAGCAGTTGTTACCAGCAAAGCTAATGTCTACATCCTAGGAACTGCACATAAAATTATGTAATTAAATGAGTTTATTTTAAAAGATTTATAAAATCCATAACTTCCCTGAGTAAATGTAACAAATAGGATCCAAAGTTCAAAACAGTCTTGTAAATTTTCACTTGGTTACAAAACCAGTGTTTTCTAGCAGTATGTGTCATTTTCCTGACAGTATCCTCTATTTTGGATAAATCAATCAAAAACTTTCAGTATCAGTTCTGCAGTTACTTTAAATATTTCTTATCAGTCAAAAGAAGTTATCAGTTTTGCTAGTTACACAGATGGTAGCCCAGCTATCTGAAGTGCAATAACCACCCAAGATCAAGACTAACCATGGAATCATACCAACTGTTGATGAAAAGCAGTCGGAGACAATTTGTTCAGACTCCAAACACCAGTTAGTCACTGTGGCTGGAGTGCAATTCTGAAAGTGATATTCAGTCTGCCAGAAAGACAAAATGCTAAACTGCAGCGTTTTTTCAGAAAAGAAGACAGGTGTTAATGAAGAATGGTGTAGTCTATGAAGACTTTCTTATTTACTAAAATAACGAGAAATTTTTTTAATTAAGTTTCACAGGAAAAAAAAGACCAAACATTTCTAATGGCCTATTCCCCTTTAAGTAAAATCCTGGCCTCATTGAACTCAATGGCAAAATTCCCACTTAGCTCCACAGGATCACGGTTTCTCCCCTACTGACAGAGATCCATTTTAAGATATGTGTATTTATGCTGATAAATGGCACTTTAAACAAAGGATTATCTATCTCCTTTAAATGCAAAATACACCTCAGTATATTTTCAATTGTTATAAAGGGTTTGACAAGGACCTTCACAAACGTACCCGCTGTACACGAACGCCTTGCAAAGCTGCTATTCGGCACGGTGTTGGCTGATTGCCGCTGCTGCCCAGTCCAAGCTGGCCATTACCATTGTAACCCCAGACATAGACCTTAAAAACACAGACAGGGCTTTTAACTGTTTGCTACTATCTCTCTCTTCTGAAAGCAATACAACTACTTCAGAGTTACAATAATAATTTTATTCAATATTTCCTGTCCTCACACCTGTACTTTATATGTAGCTACACATAAACACACACACATATACACATACCTATATAAATGTACATATATACACACACAGGTATATCTTTTTCTGCACTGCAAATTTTGGATGCTATTTCTGTTTAAAATTCCAACTGCATGCTCACCTAAAATTCTAAACTTCTATATTCACATTGCTCTTTAAGAGTTATGATTATGTAAGACTACAATACTTTAATATGAAGAGTAGAAAATAAGTTATTCATATGGCTGTTCCCTAGCACAGAGCAAATTGAGCATGAGTACTTCCCTGTTTCAAAGAGCTAATTTCTCATTCAAAAATCCTCTAACAGAAAACACACTAAAACAAGCATAAACTGGAAGCTATGCACAACAGTTTGAGTAGGCTGTTAACAGCTTTATGCTGAACATAAGAAAAAAGGAAAATACTAAGCTCTGATAATTTCAGTGACATATGTTCTACTGCAGTCAATAGCTACTTAGGTCTAAAGTGAAATGCTTGGAGCGATGGAGCCAGAGAGGATGTAGGCTGCCCAAAATCTTCAGCTCATATGAACTAAACCAACAAGAACACTACAACCTCTTTGTATCTTTGTAATAAGGACAAAAAAGTATGGGAGGGATGCACAGGGTACTGCAGCAGAACAAATATACGCAATGTACTTTTATTTACTCTGTTTTCTCTTGAGATAAAGCATGCATATATGAGAAGTGAAAATTAAAATAGCATTCACTGATTATTCTCACACTTTTGATACTTAAGATTCTAGTATAGACAATAATTTATTTTTCTATGAGTGCTAAAGACAGCAGTGGGATAACATATTAATCAGCATTTTCATTTTTGCTAGAATGTAATACCAGCTCTAAAAATCAGTAAATCAGTGATACAAACTTAGTTATTTTTATATACGAGAAAATGTAGTTAGCATGAAATGCTAAGTATACATATATAGATTCAATATAATTTAATCCCAAAATTTATAAAAATCTCCTGACCTTCACAATGCTACTTTTACTTCTGAACTCTACTTTCAAGTAAATTTGAAATTTGATACTTGAATTTTTTCAACTCAACGCCAAGTTCAATAGTTGATACAAAGTAACAGCTGCTAAATTTTATGAGTAATCTCACAAAACTAAAAGCCATAAACCAAATGTTAGTGAACAATTTTCCCTGTTTCACTCTACCTCTTTTCTAAAGAAGAAACCAAAATCAGCATGGATAGGAAGATGTGCTTCAGTATGTCAGAATGTGCAGGACAATTTATGACAAAGGTTTTTATAAGCAGTATAAGCAAGTAGATTTGAGGGAGTCTGGAAAGGTATACTTCTTTTCTGAGTAGTAGCTCACTACCAACAGGTTTGAAATTACCTACATCCCTTGATATTACCTAAAATAAAATTCAGTCAGAAAATTTGCTTACAATTTCTTACCTCTCCGTTTTCCACCACAGCCATAGAACACATCTGTCCACAAGCTATATTAACTACTATTTTATTTTGTAGGCAGCTGGTAACTCTTCGAGGAATTGGTTGATTAGCTGTTGAACCCGATCCAACTTGGCCTGAGTTATTATAACCCCATGTGTATACCTGTTGTAAGAGAATTGTCATAAAAGAAGGCTATATAACATACAGTTCGAAGTACATATTCAAGAGAGAAAAAAGTTATAGGCATAAAAAATTACATTGTGAGTTCAAGTGGATATATTCTTTTAGAGATTTAGGAAGATATATAGGTTTATAATTTAATTGTTTCTATCAAAAATATGCCACTCATAATATTTATATATTCCATTCTTTTCTATTTCTCCAACCAAAGGTAAGAGGCATTATGACAGCCGCATTAATGTTGGAAGAATCTGTTGCTAGTTTTCCAGAACGCAAAGCAAAATGGCTAACTGGACACAAATGGCAACTCAAAGTAAATGACAGAAAACTTTTTACTTTGGTGGGTAGAACTCCTTACATGAACGTGATTTATATTAATGTCAGCTTTAACACCATTAAATATTTACAGTGGAGTATAGCACAGGAAGAAAGTGGCTGCCCTCTACAAAGAAATTCTAATTTGTTATTACAAGCAGATATGGCACAAAAATCAATGTTCCGCGTGCACTTCAAAGCAGCTAGACCCTAAAAGGTTTTCTGTTTTTAGCAAATATTTGTGTTGCATCAGCACTGTGAGGATAGCAAGAAGGAAGGTCTAATGCTTTAGATGCAGAATATTCTCCTGTTTCTCACATATGTGAATTTCATTAAGAGAAAATTCCAGCTATTCTCACCTCTCCATCAGATGTTAACACCATAGAATGATGAGAGCCACAGGCAACTTCAATGACTTTCTTGTTCACCAAGTTAGTAGAGACTTGACAGGGAACGAAACCATGATTTGTTGTACCATTGCCCAACTGACTATAAGCATTATGACCCCATGTATACACTTCTCCTTCTATAACAAAAATGTAAAAAGCTGGTTTAAAATCTCTATTTTTCCAATAAGTACACAACATACAATTACAAACTGAAAAGTCACATTCAATAACAATATACACATTTTTGTGTGTGTGTATACACACACATATATATATATACACTCGCCCTTTGGGGCTCTTAAGCCCACGGACATACCAATGCTACCTTCACACAGTGTTGACCACAAATCCAAAAGGATAGTATCATCATAATCTTAGTAAAGGAAATCATATAGCTAAAAGAAAGGAGATAGTGCAATATAGAAGAGAAAGCATGAAACGACAGTCAGGAGTCCCCATTTCAATTTCTTTGTTACTGACAATTAAACAAAATTTCTTGTCTATGCCCCGGCACTGTTTCTCACTTTGGAAAAAACAAATAACACACTTTCATTCCTTTACATATACATGAAGATGCTTGTAAGAAAAACTTACTATTACTTATTAATAAACATACTATTATTTACTTATCATTTAAACATACTATTCATGTCCTGTATTTTGAGAAACATGCTAGTAAAATTAAGAATGCAAGAAATGTCTGACTGGGTTAGACCGATGGTCCACCTAGTGCAAAATTCTGTCTCCAATCGGCAATAGAAAAAACCGGATGTTTAAGGGAAACCTGAGCCTGGTCATTTTTTGTAGTTCCCAAGCATTTACAATCACTAGAGTACAGATATTGCCAGGTACTTCCATATCTCTTTAATGTACATATATTGGCCCATTATCTGTGAAGCTAATACCGTTTTCTACTCACTTTCATCTGGTTTAAATCAAGTGTCCTCTAGTTACAGTAGTGCAGGACTTGACAAATAGCTGTCCTACATTCATCTTGTCTATTATCATCATCATCATTTTCTAAACCTAAGTTATGCCATTAATTCAGGAGAGCTAAGTTTGACATACAACTACATCAGATTTCTAGAGATCACCGAACTCCTTATCCCTAAGAAGGGTTTCCTCAGAACTACAAAGGCAAAATGTGCTACACTAAACCAATATTTCTCTACAATAGCAGGTTAAATCTAATGACTTCATCCTGTCAAACAACTTTCTCTTCATTTTACCAACATGGGAACACACATTTCAGTAAACAGGTGAAACAGCCACATTGTAACATACAACATAAACTGGAAATTATAGTCATTAACACAATAATTGTGAAATACATAATGGTTGTCTGAAAGGTAGGTTAAAAGAGGCTGGGCTGAATGGAAGTTATTCACGCAAATGGAGTTATGAGTAAAAATCATCAAGGATCAGTTCTGGACCTGTTTTTTTGCAATACTTCAGCTCACCATCTGAGTAAGGAGTATGAACATGTCAGTGAGATCTGCCAGCAACAAAGCTCAGGAGAATACACATACATACATAAAAAAGCATCCAGAATGGTCTACCCTGAAGACTGGAGAAAATGCTGGAATGTAATTGAATATAAAGAACAATCACATATTTACAACACAATTCCCCTCACCTACCTTTAGTCATCTAATCTAGACTGCTCAAAAAGGTTTCTTCTCATTAATGGAGAAAGAGAGACAAATCTTAACATCATCAGTCAGGCTCTAACAGAACCTCACTGGGAACACAATATTAAGTACATTATTCTTGAAGACAAATCACTAATTATAAACAGAAGGGCCACTAGCATGATGTGGATAATAGAGTGTCAATGCGACAACAGAAAACAAAAGGCTGAGAGGCAATATAACTGGTCTTTAAAGCACATCCAAAAGTAGGTACAGGAGGGAAAAGATGCGTTTTAGCTAAAGGACAATGTTGGCACAAGAACATATAGGCATAATGTAGCCACTAACGTATTTCAAAGGCAATCAGAAGTTCCAAACTTAAGTGCAAAGTAAAAAAAAAACCTTCCAAAAGCAGTTACAAGATCAAAGCAGAGCTTGAAAAACTTTTGAAAAGAACTAGCTATGAACAGAGCTAGCTGACATGTCATGTTCACCAATGAAAATACGTTGGACTTGATAGCCCGGAATGTCTATGCCAATTCTTTCTCTTATGTTACCAGCACAGACCTTTCACACCTGCTGGACTAATTAAAGTGGACTATCTGAAAAAGCAATATTCAGATCATACTTTACCTTCAGTAGCAAGAACAACATGAGGGCCACTTCCGTAACTCAGACAGGCTATCTTTTTGCCGCATAGAGAATCTAACCTTCTCGGTTCAATAGTGCTCTGCATGTCACCTGTTCCCAAACACCCACTGCAGTTCATGCCAAGCACAAAAACCTGTTATAAAAGAATCACAGAATCATCATTTAGGTTGGAATGGAGGACCTCTTCCAAAAGTCAACTAGTCTGATCCTCTGCTCAACAAAGGTCTAAATGATCAGTTGACTCAAGGCCATGTCCAGTCGAGTCCTGAACACAACCAAGGAAAAGATCCCACAGCCCCTCCAGGATTTAACCACTCTCATGGTAAATTTTTTTTCCTAATACTGAATTAGAATTTTCCATCTTCCAGCTTGTGCCCATTGCCTCTCCTCCTGTCACTGTGCACCTTGTCTAACTCCATCTTCTCTTTATTGTCTGGTTGTGGTAGGAAGCCATTAATTTGAATTGAACATGTTTTAGTAACAATCAAAATGATTAGGCATTTTTGCATGCAACTTTTTCTAGGTATACTACCATAGTACTGGCTTTCAGAACAACTTGATACATAAATGACTAAGTATGTCATGTTCATACACACTCTTGGACAATTACCTCATCATTTTCAGTTGCATACAACACTTCATTACCAGCACTGCCAAATACACAGGCTTGACGAATTAACTTGAGCTCTTCTTGGGAACAGAGAGAAAAAATTGGCCATTTCCCAACATCCAGCATCTTCAAGGCTGACAATAATGTTGCCTCCAATACCTGGTATTGTAAAAAATGATATCAAATACACAGATAGAAACGTATACCTTTGCACAGTAAAAAGGAAAAATTCAGAGAAACACCACCATCTCCTTTTTCAACCACAAACCAGTATTTTAATTCTAGATCAATTCTTGGAGGGAAGCCATTAAAATAAAGAAATAAAATATATCGTGATCCAGAAAGAAAGGATCTATATGCATGGAGAAAAGTACCATATAAGAGTTAAACGGTGAGGCCGTATTTTCACTATATTCATACAACTTAACTGCTAGCTTAAAGAATTCAACATACAGGATTCTAATATAAAGTGTAAAGTATACATTCAAAACTTGAAAATAATTTGTGTCTTTCCCTCTGGTGCTAAAATTACTGTTAAAAGAAAACCATAAAAATAGCTGTCCAAAAATATACTTATCTGTGGAAAAACATACACATTTGTTTTCAAACATTGAAAATGGAACCTTGAGAAAACTTGAGACACTTTTTCCTTTCTCCTTTACTTCTGAAATTTACTTCTGTGTTTCAACAATTATTGCATCTTTGGGAACTTCCTGAGAATATATGCATTTTATGTAAGCAGATACACAATAAAAGAAAAAAAGGTAATTGAATATTTTCCAGCTTATCCAAGGACAAATGACAAGTTTATAGGTAAAGGAAAAGAAGAACAGGTCTCTCCAAACATTAAAACTAGTCAAGCTAATGTCTGAATCTCATGCAACATTTCTATTGCTTTAGTATAGCATAAATCAGAAAAATGTTGCAGTATCAAAATTTAATAGCAAATTTTGCAAGAAGCATGCATCAAATTTTCTTTACTGAAACTAAAACAGGCTCTGGACATGAAAGAAAAGCAGCATTACTTGCCAGATCAGAAGGTAAGTAAGAATAGGTTTTGCCCATCACAGGCATTATGTAGTTCACCACATAACAGTGAGGACTGCATCATCAGTTTATTTCTAGCAAGCAGCAAAGTTACAAAATGATTTGTTACAGAATATTATTTTTTTTACTTCTGACTGAAACAAAGATGTGAATAAATTCTAGTTTGGAATCTGAAGCACATTATGTCAGTCATAAGGATGTTGCTTTTTTGACTAGTATCACTTACTATGAAAAAATGTACACAGAAACATAGGTAACATTTGAAAATACAGAAATAAACCCTGAATGAAATTCTTTAAGTAAATAGCAGTTAATGACACACTTCTTTATAATATACTTCTGAGGAAGGGAAAGGAGCGTTGATCATCTTCACTAAAGAAAAGTTGAGGTTTTGATCACACCAGTTCTTTCCCCAACTCCTCACACCAAGTAACCGACAAATTTCAGCCAAATTTGCAAGTGAAAGGGAAGAGTCCGCTGACACAATCCATTTGGCAGTAGGCAGCTGGACAATCAGACGTGTATGCTGTGAAGTCAGTCAGCAAGCAAATAGGTCCATGCTAGTCCTAACAAATGCTGTCCTCCATGACACATAGCAGGTTTATAAGAGACAAAGGATATGAATCCATGTGGAATCAGGCTTCATTCATCTGCTTTTCGCAGAACAATTTGTTTTATGTCAAGAGGTTACCATTAATTCTATGGAGAATTTTTGGCACTTTTAAAATATGATAAAGAAGGCATCACAGACTACACTTCCAGTTGCATCAACAAAACTGCATCCCACTTTTGCTCAAGACTGATGAAGCCTGAGGTTCAAAAGGACAGTCAGGGTGTTCTTCAACTGTAGAGATTCCCTTATGGGAATAACATACTGGTTTCTTTAAAACGTGGGCTCTAAATTCCAAGTGCACGGTGTGTCAGAACCCATTCATCTTAAATTTAAGAGATTTTTTCTGTGACCTCCCTCTACAAAGCACTCATGTTCTACCCTTATAATTAACAGGTTAAAAAACCCCAAACTGTAGCACTTCTTAACACTAAAATAATACACTGAAGGAAAAAACCCAAACTATTATAAAAAGCACCCAAGGAAACACACACAATACCGCTTTTTTTTTTTTTTTTTTAGCACGAGAAATAACAACAAACTTCAGCAGACTAAAAAATATCCATATTCTAAATCCTGTCTCTGGAATTATTAGTTACATTCAACTCAGTAAGAGATATTCTCTCACCTTTCAAAATTTCTCCCCTCCCATACTTCTCCATTATATTCTGTCCCAAAAATATGAAAAGCAGCTTGAACTGCCTACCAATATGTACATCCCATAAGTGATTAGTTTCCTCACTAAGTCACAAAGTCATGAAAGACAGTTAGACTGTCCAGCTATGGTCCAGCTACCCATCCCAAAGGTGTATCAGTTATGCCTCAAGAATTTCTAGAACTTCTACACTTCATTTGATCTCAGCAATCAGTTTGAAAGTTCCTCAGTTTTATTTGTCACACAGATCACCTTAAAAGGCATCATCATTAAGCTCAAAATCTGAATGATGTTTCATTACGTTTTATATGCAGAGTGTTCAAAGAAAATAAAAGACAAAAATAGGAGGAAGTTTTTCCCTCAAATTATACTACAAAAGTTAATTCTAACAAGTTTATATTGTTGAAACATTAGGATGGAACATGTAACCTTAGAACTTAATACTAAATTAATCCAGCCTTGTAAGCCAAAGGAGCAATTGAACCTAATTAAAGTTAATATAGTGTTCTTCTAATATTTTGTGGATCACATAAGCAACATTTCTTTTGCTAGGATCATTTTTCTACCTATAGCTTTGGTTTTCTGTTTATCTTGAATGTACTCGCATGTACTAAGCTACTGCTAAATGGAATCAAGCTTATTCCTTTTCAGTAGAGCAATACAGAATTCTCAGTACAAATTCACACTCTGACCTTGACACTGACTCCTTGAGAAGGAGGAGATTCATCCTCCATACGGATTTGTGCTTGTGTCCCCCTGCAGAGAGAGAACTGTGGTTAAAATCACCATATCATATTGCTGCAACAATACTTTATGGAACTATACATACTTAATATTATGCCAGAACTATTTGCTTCTGTGGGCTGAGAAAACAAGAAACACAAAGCTCAGACAATTTTGCTTTTATATTCAACTGTACAGTGATCAGTTAGACAGACTCTGCTCTTCTGTATTCTGACCTAAAATAATAATTCTTGGAAAACTTTTTTTTTTAAAACAAGTACTAAAATAAATCAGACTGTGATTGGAAAGGAAGAAGTTTTATTAAACATAATACTCCAATGTCTTTTTATTGCAGTAAAAATAAATTTAGAACCTTGCTGACATAACTTTCAAGACATTTCTTTCAGCAAAGAAAAAGCACACTGGTTGCAGCTTTCCATTTCTGGCTTAAGCCTTTGAATGCACTTATTCCAGTTCCATTCTGAAAACCAATGTTAGAAAAGCATTTGGGTCTTTCCAGGTTTACTGAGAATTAAAATATTCACTCTGCTTCAGAAAACACTGCCAACGCTATAAAAAGTATTTATATAATTTCTATGATGTGCATAATCAATAGAAATAGACTTTCAGATCAAATGTTTCTTCACAAATAAATATGCACAACTCTACTATCCTTAAATTATTAACTTAAAGCCATGCAACTCCATTTTCAGTAAAACTGCAAAAACGAGTAAGCAGCTCTGAAGCTGAGCATGCTTACTTTACTCTAGAAGTGAGAAAGTTGTACATATTATCTTTGAGGTCCACTGGTTCAGCCAACGCAAAAAATGTTCACTTTTCACTTAAAATTAAATGTCTCTAAAATTCCGACTACAGGCAGAGTAACATCCAACAAAAAAGAAGCTACCATTTCACTTAGTTACTTTTCAGAGGAATACTACACTAAAATAAGTATCAAATGTAATCTTATAAAACTACCTAACTTACTACTAAACATGCCTCTTATGTAAGACTTCATGCCATAAGGCCTAGGTCAATAACACAGAATACATGAAATTCATATGATTTAAATATTATGAATATTAATGATTTAACAAATATAATTCAATTTACTGAATAAATAAAAATATTTTTATTTACTTGAAACAAATAAGCCAAACAATTGCTGCAGCTCAACTATACTGAATATGCACACTGTTAAGCTTATGCTTCAACAAAACCCACAAATCTACATACACACGGTGTACTTTATACACTTAGTTTAAGACATCAAATGATAAATTCAGCTCATGTATGAACGTCCAGCTACTCTCTTGTCCATGTTGACTTTGAACTTAAGGCTCAAACACACAACCAAACTGAAATAACTTGAAGCTAAGTTATATTCCCTTTCAACTAGGAAAGACTAAAGGGCAGATTCACTTGCCCACACATTAGCACCTACTGCTATTTGAGATGACCTTGAGGATCCCCGACACCAAACGGTGCTGACAGATGTAATACAGGACCTATAGGGTATCCATGCCGTGCTGGAGCAGCAGCCAAGAACTAAATGGCACTAGGCAGTTAAGCATGTGCAACTGAACAGAGCCCTGAAGAAGCACCATAGCCGCTTACCATGCTTTACAATTTAATGACTATTTAATGGATGCAGGGTAACTTGTTAAGCTCTTGTTGTTAAGTGATTTGTTATTTCCTTACTTTCTTCAACATACTTACTTGTTCAAACAACAGGAATGCAACCAGATGATTTTGTGTACATTATCTCTATTTAAACTAGAAACAACTCGCCTAATTAAGACCTTTGGCACGACCACAACACGAGCAGGACTGTATTACTGAACTGCCGTTCTGAAACATTTAATTTCAAGTATGTGAGTACCTCTACCATGAAACTGATTATTAAGGCTATCCAATATTTTGCAGCATCACCTTCCAGCACTCCCTAGCAATGCTGATATATGTTACCTGCTTCTTGACCATCCTTAGCCTACACTCAGCTCACAGGGCTCACATGTCCGCCAACAGAATAACTATTAACTATGAATTTTCTAATTTAAATAAACGTAGAATTCTGTATTTCCTTCTTCAAGCCATTTTATACATAACTGACACCCACGATTCTCAAGTTCTAATATTCCAATCCAATTGCTTCTGTTTAGACAAAAGCATAGTTTGACTTTAAAAGCTGTTTGCTAGTATAAAGAAAGATATGTTAGGGTCTAACCATCTCAGTGACCTAACAAAAGGTTCTCCAGCCCACTACTTTTCAGAGTCCCACAAACATGCTGACAGTTTTGCACTGAATGTCAAGAACAAAGATCACTTACATGTCCTCACAACGCAAAAGTTACAACATGCTTTATGTTATGTATAACTAAAAGAAAATTACCCTGCAACTCCATTCTTCAAGCTGTTCTGCAAACACAGATACCTTATTTCTGAGCAGCCCTACAGGAGTACATGGGACGACTAAACTTACACCAGTTTATTCTTTCATTCAAACTCATGTATTCTAATAAAAGTACATCTTGATTGCCACATGTCTGCATCTGCAAAGGTGTTCTTTCTAAAAACCTGTAATTGATTTAAGAGTACATATTCACCCTGGGATCCTGAAAATAAAGAAAAAAAATACATTATTAAGCCTGTCTAAGAATCATTCTTATCTGTATACCTTTAAAATACTAGTGATGATTCATATTTGCCTACTTGTAGGAATTTTCCCTCCAGAAAAGTAACCATTGTATATAGAGAGCTAAGCAAAGAAAAAATAGCATTTTCATCAAAAATTAAAAGATAAAAATCTGTATATTTGAGTACTTCAGGTACAGAAGAAAAGCATACTCTAGCTATTTCAGGCAAGTTACTGGGGTTTTTCATCTACTAAATCTTACAATTTGTGTATAACTGCTAAGAAATCTCACTTTAAAATAGCTAGCCACTACATTTTTTTTAAAAAATGCAACACTTACTTTAGAAAGTAAAAAAGTAAGCAAGGAATACTTCTCATGTATTCAAACTTCATATACATTTTCATTAGCTGTGTTTCCAAAAAAAATTCTAAAGTGTAGGTTGAAAGGAGAAAACTTCATTGTTGTAAACATCCATTTCTTGATAAAGCTCACACCATTTCAATACAAAAATATTTACACTAAACTTTCACAAATCTCTTATCTGGAATCCAAGTACAATTAAGAATTTGGACAGTCTGGCAGTCTGAGTTTAGGTCTTAGAATCTGAAAGTTCTGGCCTTGGTTTGGATTCAACCTTCACAGGTCTTTGGGTACGGCACATAGGCCTCTATGGTACAGATAAGATTCAGTTAAGGAACCCAAATACTAGTCCTAATAGCCAAGTTCTATTAGTAGTCTAAGACTATTTAATCCTAAATATTTAAACAGGTTCACTGACTCATTCGAATGTAAACATTCTTGTAGATTCTCTCTCTCGAGGAACTTGGCAAGCAAACAAAAATTTTCAGAACTTCACTTAGTATTTCCTCCCACTTAATTTGAGCATTTATGAATCTCATCTACTGAATCAAAGGTCTGTCTGGAGCTTCTTCCCCAAGGACTCTAACCACAGGCCTAGGAAAGATTAGGAGGAAAAAGTCACAGAAAAAAGGGACTTGCTGACATCTTTAGGAAATTAACCTAACCTTCTCTGATATTCTTGATTTCTCAGCAGTTTCCTACCAGAATGGTCATGAAATGATGCTAACTTGTCCAAGCAATCTTGCAGGAGAGGACAGACCAGTAATATTGTCAACAGTTACTCCTATTGAACAGGTCACATTCCCTTTCTAGGAAGTCTATTTTCAAAATTATCTTCCTTCTTCATGTACAGTGAAATGTCACCACTCCATCCAGTGCTGACAATAAACTGACAGACTCAGTTTGTCATTCATTCTTCCATTGATGCAGCAGTTTCCTTTACCAAGAAACTGCAGACCTTGAGAAACAGTAAGTGGTTGTTTGAAAAACCGCTAACTCCAACTAAAGCATAGTCTTCCCTCCTTCCCCGCTGGCTTCTTGACACCAGACTGTGACTTCTCAGCTCCTGATGCAAGCTCCACTGGCTGCCTACTAATTGCAAGAGCAAATCTACATGCAGTTTCAAGGTCAGATCCAAGAAACTCTGAAAGACACAAGTATTTACAGTCTGAAAGACTGACATCCTTGACCTTGCAAGGTAGGTAACTGCTACAGAAATTTCTAACTGCAATGATCTGAGATAAGACAGCTTTATTGTCTCAATCTCCAGAGACAAAACCTTAGCCAAAACCGCCTTCTCAGATGCCACCTCTCTTTTGGCATGACATCCAGTTCTGCCTGTTGGCTCCAGGGATGGACCTCCAGCATGACCCCACTGAAGTTTTCAGAGGTTCAGGTATATGCAGTATGCTGTATTGGAGCTAGATGCTTGAAAATTGTTTGCAAAGGCCTTTTTTTCAGTAACATCACCACCCCTAAAAAGAAATTGGTTGCCAGGAACAAAAGCAGTGAATGGTAAGACACAAACAACACACAAAAGAAAACACAGGCCTGTGAAAAGCAAGGAGGATAGTGGGAATACTGTTCTGTTATCCATGCTTAGCACCATCCTTCAACACAGGTTCAATACCACTGCAAAAAGGGGCAAATACATCAGCGAAAAATGTTTTGAAAGAAGTGAGAAGACAGGAAAGAAAACAGAGGGCATAATTTTTCAACTCTCCAGTGGTTTAAAAATAAGTGTAAGGGTCTGGTGTGAAATTTCTGCCCTAAGTGACAAAATGGCTTCGAAAAATCATATGTAGATTCCTCAGACACCTTCCCCTCACCTCCAAAAGAACCCACCTTGGAGTTTTGGGCTAGCAAGACAATTTGACTAATTTGATATTTATAAAATCACCTAGGACTTTTAAAAGTTCTATATGATGGTAAGACACACTGCTTACATTAAGTTTCTTTATTTCTCTCATCCTATTCCAATTACTTTTTTCCCCCTTAGAATTGCTGTCTATCATCATCATCGATGTAGAATGGTGTATTGTTTACCAGCAAGTAACAAGAGTGGAAGTGACTGGAAAAAATGCATCATCACCCATTAGAGGGTTTAAAGCAGAAGAAAAATAATCTCAAATTCTTTTCTCATTCTACAAACCATACAGTCACCCTGGAAAAATAATTTCAAAGCTTTGGCTATCCACCTACTTGACTGAAAAAAAAATGAAGATTTGAATAAAATAACTAACAAGAAAGAGAAACTACATAACAAACTAATGAAAGCCAGAAATACAAAGACTGGAAAATAGTAATTAAGTTTATACTAAAATTATGCCTCTAACATATTTACTGAAATGTCAAGGTCAGCAGCTAAAAAAGCCTGATAAGAAGGTGTCAATTAAAAAAATATTTTCACTTAAAAATATTTACACCTCTTTCTACAAGTGCAAAAGTACCTTTTGAAGACAATCAAGTGTTTCAGCTCATGGAAACAATGCAAAACTACCTTCAAGGCTGAAAAGCATTAAAGGAGGATGCTAGTGTCATTTTCACATAATTAGTGGTTCAATTCTCCAACAAAAGAAAAGAAATACAATAAGCATTATCTCCAGACCTTGAAGTATATTAAAATAATCAAACGTTCTGTTAGACAGTCTCTGGGGAACAGGATGTTATTCCTGTATCTAAATTTTACCTGATGTAATCAAAGGTAACCTAAATCTAACCTGAGACACTGAAAAAAAGATTTGTTTGGATTTTTTAATGTGGCTGATCCAAGATTTTCAGAAAATTAACTCAAAAAGCTCTTTCTCTTTGCTGAATTGTCAGTCAAACTCTAAACACACTTCAGTTCCTGTAATCCGTACACACAAACATCATAAAATACAACTGATGCAATTGCTAGCTCTTGTCAATTTTAAATGCTACATAAAATTTAATTTACCATATAACTGATTTGGCAGAACTGAAATTTACATTCTTCATTTCGACTTTCCAAATTGAGAGTTCAAGGAACCAGCTTCAGGGAAACAAAAGTATTCCAAAGATTTGGTATCAAAAGAACTTTATTAAAAATATTAACCATGTAACAGAGCAAAATAAATCAAAATAACACAAAAAATATGTGAAAGAAACAGCTATTATATTTTTATAAATTTAAAGAATCTTAGTACAGAAAATATTAAAGCTTTAAGAATTTAAGAAACACTAACAGGTCATCAAGTTGTTCAGGACAAACCACGTACAAGCTTCAGATGTTAGGTGGCATTTGCGAGCCTGATGAGACATCAGTTCAATGCCACAGAAACAGCATGTCTGGGAATAATCCTTCTGTTACTACGTAATCATAAATACTATATTGCATCAACAGAAAACAAACACGTAAATGCATGCATTTTTTTACGCCCTCTCTAAGTAGATCTGACCTAGCTTAAATTATTAGCAGTCTGCAGTTACCTGATCCAGCCAAATGTTGAGCCATACATCAGGTCTAGCTGTTGGATCTTTGACCTCACAGTCTGCTCTAGCTGTTAAAGAAGAAATATTCACAGCTTCTACAGTTCTAACCTTTAATCACTTCCTTAGATGTCCAAGGAAGGTCACTGTAGCCTCGTTTAGACTAAAAGCTTTAATTTATAAAATGTACCTTCTAAAACTTTCTAAGTCTTAATAAAAACCCTGAACATAAGCATTACTAAACCACCCCGGCTTTCTTTTCTACATTCCCTGCTTACTTCAGTTTAGCACGGGCTTTCTGCACATCAGAGCCTTGGTCCATGATAAGGGCTCCTGCCTACAGCTAAGAGGGCTACACGATGGGTCACCAAGAGAAGAGCTTTTTCAAGATGATGTCTAGCACGGTTCCAGCATGAATCTGGCTGTAGCCACACTTCCCTGTAACACTGGGCACTTGCCAGAGCACTTCCCATGAACCAACGCCTGAGCGGGTGGGAAGATGGTGCGATCTTTCCCTGACACAAAGTCAGAATTTGCCTAGGTATATACATCAAACACATAAATATAAATGCATATCTAACAAAAACATAAATATATATACACATACACCCCAGGTATTATACACGTAGAGCTGAGAATTCTGATAATTTTTTTTTATATAGTTATAGCTGTCTGCATAAAAAGATACACTATGTTACAGAAGACAGAGACAGCATAGCAAATACAATGTGTATATCAAAGAAAAGTTAGCCCACTTCCTCTATGAGTAAATGACTGGGTAGCTGTCCATTCAGGTATTTCTTTAACCGTCTTCTGATACTGAAACTGACCGATGTTAAGTGGCAAGAGCATTGGATTAGATATAACACACAGAGGTTTCTTAATTATATTTTAAGAGTTGGGAGACAAAATGTTATATAATGTTGTATGTAAGAACAACTGGATCGCTGTATGTCCTTCCCAAATGACGCTACTATCTGTATCTAAGAAAAAAATCCACCTATGGCATAATTCCTGATAGTATCTCTCAGTAAGCAATATCCTTACCCAAATCCATCTCTTGTGGTCTATGGCAGATATCATCAAAATTTTTCTCTTCTCCAAGGAATGATCTGCTTGACTTTTTTTTTTTTTATCCACATATTCTCTTCCTGTTCCTTTACAGTCCATTACATCATTCACATCCAGTGTCATTCTGCCACATTTATTTCTCATACCTGGACAATATTAGCTCTTCTATCCCTCACTCAGCATTCAGAATCATTATTTCTCGATTTTTCCCTTACCCCATGTCTGCTTTCACATCCTTCAACATTAGTTCAGCCCAAATGGTTTCTGACGGTGCACAAACACAACTCTCTGCAGATCCTACTCAGCTCATAACCTGGAGTAAAACCTTTTTGCTAATTGTGCCCTCTCTTTTTACCCACCAATATTAGAAATTTCACCTCCACAAGGAAATACACCGCAATCCTCCCATCTCCCACACATTAACAATCCTTGGTTTCCTCAGTATTCTTTCTTTTCTTTAAAACCGTAACTGGCCATCACGCTAAGCTTGTTCAAT